CCCCCCCCCCCCAAGCCACTGTTCATGTCCAGTCAGACCAAACTGGACGAAACATAACGGGTGGTGATGGTCTGCCCAAGCTTATAAAGGTGTACAGCTTTTGGAGATTTAAATAGGTTTATAACAATTATTTATTTCAGCCTAAAGTGAGGCTTGGGGAATAGGGTGGGGGTGGGTGGGGTGGACGCCTAACATTCAACTGATGCCATAATGCAAACTTACCATTACAAATCTGTTTTTGCCGAGACTCAAATTTCTGTCCGTCTGTGAAATTGAGCGGCAGACATCCGGGTGTTATGGAGCCATGAGTGTTGGCCGGGGGGGGGGAGATGGCAGAGGAGTGTGGGGCGGGGGGAGGCATGTCATAAAGGATGACCATGATTCCGTTGATAGTCACAAGGATTATTACTTGATATTATTTATCATAATAAATATCAAAATTTATTTAGTCTTTTCATTGTTTCTGTTTTAAACTCTATTAATAATGCAGTAATAAAATGTTGTTTCATTGATATCGTTAAAATAGCTCATTGTTCATTCGCTCCCAGTGAGGCTATTGAGTGCTTCGCGAATTTAAAATCCACGCAGTGGAGCAGCTATAGTTTGTGACACACCGGGTGGTCCTTAATTTTCACGCACTGTTTTAACTACAACCATAATTTTTTTCGTTTTTTTTTCTTTTTGTGGAAAATTGTGTTTTTTTGTTGTTTTTTTTATACTCTTTTATTTTGTACTTTTTTTTTAGCCAAAGCGTTGAACCTTTCATCCCCATTGGAGATCAGGAAGTGGGTGAAAAGTGAGATGAAGATTTGATCCGCCAAGGTCACTCCGGGGTCAGTGGAGGTCACCGGTGACATACTGATCACGAAGGGTTTATTTGTCATCCAGGTTTGGGTGAGTGTGCAACGTTAAAGCTCCGTTGGGACATCAGGATGTGGGTCAAAACTGATTGAGATCCAAGATTTGACCCAGACAAAAAAAAAAAAAAAACAAGACTAAAATTGCAAGCTAAATAAAAGCGTGTGGAAACAAACGAACACTCATGAGGAACTACAACAGTCACAATTGAAATCCAAGATTTGAACCAAACAAAAAAAAAAAAAAAACAAGACTAAAATTGCAAGCTAAATAAAAGCGTGTGGAAACAAACGAACACTCATGAGGAACTACAACAGTCACGATGCATAGACCGACACTACACTCTAGATAAAAATGTCACACACCATTACGTCGAGGACAGGAATAAAGCTATTCTCAACAGGTGACCACACGAAAAATAGGTAGCTAAGGTGGTCATTTCTAACACGTTTAATGTGTATCTCATTACATTCAATTATCTACATAACCAAAGGCGTATCGTTAGTATATCTACGAGAGGGGACACACGCCTGTATCGGACTTGAAACGCGTTTCTGCCGAAGACAGTCAAGGCCAGTGGCCTCCTCCTGTCTTCCAACCCCCAAGCTCCTGATACCCTTGCAGCCAGCGAGGCATCCTCTTCAATGCCGTGCACAGAAACATCGCGAACCGCCTCTACATAAACAGGAGTTAGAATGATGTGGGACCTCAAGATATAGAAGAAGAAGAACTCATAAGAAAAAAAATTAATAGGTTTTCTTTAAACGTAATTCAAAATGCACTGTTACAAAAAAAAAAAAAATGATAACTGAGCTTTATCAACCTAGCTTTGCTTCATCAACCTAGCTTTGCTTCATCAATATAGCTTCGCTTCATCAACCTAGCTTCGCTTCAGCAACCAAGATTCGCTTCAGAAACCAAGATTCACTTCATAAACCTAGCTTCACTTCATCAGCCTAGCTTTGCTTCAACAAATTTGCTTCGCTTTCATCAACCTAGCTTCGCTTCATCAAGCTAACTTCGCTTCATCAACATAATTTCCCTTTATCAACCTGGCTTTCCTTCATCAACCTAGCTTCGCTTCCTTAACCTAACATTGCCTTATCAACCTAGCTTTGCTTCATCAACCTATCTTCACTTCATCAAACTAGCTTCGCTTCATCAACCTAGCTTCGCTTCATCAACCTAGATTTGCTTCATCAACCTAGATTTGCTTCAGAAAACTAGATTCACTTCATAAACCTAGCTTCACTTCATCAGCCTAGTTTTGCATCAACAACCTAGCTTTGCTTCATCAACCTAGCTTTGCGTCATCAACCTAGATTCGCTTCATCAACCTAGCTTTCCTTCATCAAGTTAGCTTCGCTTCATTAACCTAACATTGCTTCATCAACCTAGCTTCGCTTCATCAACCTAGCTTCGCCTCATCAACCTAGCTTTGCTTTATCAACCTGGCTTCTCTGTTAACATTAATCAGTCACAGAGGCTTGGAGTCCTGCTACGTTTATTCCCGTCCAAGGCAAAAGGACGACACCAGCGTTGTCTTGAACCGCTTGTTACACTTGAGGTACACGAAGATGTTAGACGCGGCGTTCAGTGCCTCGCACGTGAACCGAATCGTGTTGGCCACGTAAAACGTATTCTCGTAACGGCGATGCATGTTGAATTCCGGCTCACAGAGTGACGCGTAGAATATCAAAAGTTTTGGCGTATTGCACAGCGCAAAGATGAACGAGACCAGGCTCGTCGACTTCACCAGCTGGACTTCGTTTCTTGATGTATTCTTCCGCGAGCGAAATCCGGAAGTGACCGTCTCGCTCTCCTTTTGGGGCAATTCGCTGCGTTGAATTTGTATTTGAGTGTGAAAAGGTGCAACGGGAATTTCCGTTTCTAAATAAGGCTGCGTTGAATGTGTGATTTTTAAAATTTGCTTGGGAAAATTTTTCAGATTTTTGGTGGCGGCTATTTGGATTGGTACACTGAGATTTTGCATTGAGCTTCTAAAGTTTGACGACGCTCGCAGGCTTGAGGTTAGTACGGCCAGACAGACCAAAACAGTCACCTGACATACTGTCGTCAAGACCAATGCAGTAGTGCAGCGGGCGGAAAAGACCCTGGTCCAGTCAGGTGATGTCCAGAAGATGAAAAAAGTTTCATTCTTATCCAGACCACCGGCTCCCTGCAGGCCGATCGATGCATAGACCGGCGCATAAAGCGCGAGGCATGCGACGCACGTGAGCGACGTCGCGACAACAGTTCTGGACCGCGTGAAGGTGCGCCTGAACCGCAGGGGCAGCGCTACGCACCAGCATCTCTGCACGGCGATGAACGTCGTGATCGCCTGCGAGACGTCGTAGAACGGTGCGTAGTAGTACACGATTAGCAGGCTGATGGTGTAGCCGTCCACGCGCCACGACGTCGGGAGAAGCGTCGTAAACAGGTAGAGGTAGTCGGCCGGTATCATGAAGGTAACGCAGATCAGGTCGGAGCACGAGAGAAGAAAGAAGCAGACGGAGATGCTGTCCCGCAGGCCGAGTCGCAAGTAGACGATGATGTTCAAACAGTTTGTCACAAACCCAAGGGCCAGTATCGGCGCCCTCACAAAAGAGGCTAGAGCAAATGCGATTGCCGTTCTTGTTTCAATGGTCATTAAATCTACAGGTGCACCAATGGTTGCGTTCATTTTCCAATTTAAAAAAAAAAAAAAAAAAAAATCTTTGCTGGAGAATAATTATATAATTTTAAAATCTGTTTTTAGTTTTCAATTATGCCATAGAAAACGACAAGGGCGTTGTAATGACGCCTGCTAGTGTTATAAACGTTTTTCTTCTCTCAAATGGCTTGTAACAATTCCCTCAGTCTGACAAATGATTCTGTAATACCCGCTGCGATCAATTTTTCTAGGAGTGTAGAAATCTAACAGGCAACGGTAGCAGATTGCGCATGTTCGTTGATCTTATTGTTTTAATTAATTTTTTTTTTAAAGATTTTAAAGTGGAGCTTTGTCTCTTTGAACAAGAAATATGAAATTCTGAAGATGGTATGTTGTGCCGTCTGAAATTTAGAACTCTGAAGTCAATTTAAAGATATAGAAAAAAATATGTTGTAATGTTTATTTTAGTAAAAGCGATCTAAAGGTATTTTATTGACCTAAATAGTGTTGATTAATCCTTATATTGTTTTTGTTTTTGGTTGTTGTTCTTTTTTTAAAATAAATATCATATTTGTAAAAGTGAAGACATTTTTTTTTTGTACCTGGCCAGTACAACGTTGAAATAGCTTTTCATGAACCACAGAAAGAACCTTCTCCAACAGCATCCTCGACTATAAAGATAATGCGCAATCAATTGCACCTAAATAAACTATGATGACGTAGACATTTGTACAACAAATGCAGTTCCAATGTATTTGTGTGTACACGTGAAAACTAAACGTGACTGGCATGGGTCGCATTGCGGCCAGATTTTCCTTGCAGTGAATCCCAATAAAATTGTTAAAAATTTTAGGACAAAAAATATAGATGGACTGGTGAGTCAGTCTTGGCAGTCAAAACAAGTCATATGTAGCAATTATTTTCTATCAATCACGTGTGATAATATGTAAAGTCAGAAGGAATTTGTTTGCCCCCGTACGCTATTCACAACTCTTGGCCGTAATCCATCTAAACCATCTCCATTGTAACACCACTTATTGTGGCTGCAAGGCTTATATTTGGCAATGTTCTTCACACGCAAGTAATTTTAGCAGCCTGAAACTTAAAACAAAATTCGTTGTCCGAGAAGAAAATTATTTACTTCTTGCAGCCAGTTAAAAAAAAAACTTTTGTAATTTTGCGTTAAAGGGTTATTATCAAATTCTGTTAACTTATGGAAAATAAGATCAAACCTAGGCATATATATCATGGGGTGAAGTTTAAAATAATGTGCAAAACTCTTATCAGTCTTTGCGAACAGAAATTATAATAATATGAAAACATTATCCTAATATCTTGACATTATCCAGCATCAATCTACCAATTGCGTCATAGCTTTTTTAGAAATTACTAGGCAATAATTTTTGGAGCTATTAAAGGGATATTATTGAATATAAATATTTAAAATGATTAGCGCATGAATTGCTTGTAGTTTCTGATTAGTTTCGGCGAAATAAATGGTTCGTAATTTTTAATAGCCACGTTGTTAAAGCTTAAATGATATTGAAACAAAACAATTTTTACACAAAGAAAAAAAAATGAAAATTAGGTACGAAAATTCGTTTGCTATTTAAACAATGTATTTATAAAGATGACGTCTCATCACCTAGAAATTAATGTGTGCCTAAACATGGGCGTCATTTATAGGCGCCCCTCCAAACCCCCCTCCCCATCCCCCCTCCCACCACGGTCATATTAAAAAAATTAAGTTATCTCAGAATTCATGATATTATATTTTTGAAACAATTTAATGATAAAGAAATATCAAAGTTATGTAAAACAAAGGATGTGATCAGTTTTAGACCATGCAATGTAATGTAATGATGCGTTTGAAGTCTATTGAATAAGTACCGAATCGTTGTAAAGAACGTAAAATGGATTTTTCTTCGAGAGTAAATGAAGCTTACATTGTCTTCAGTTATTTCACAGAAACCCCTTCAAATGTTTTTCTAATTATTACGTTTCTGTTGTGTAGCAAAGTTCGTCGCAAGCAGAGTTTCCCTACCTTTCCGATATATTTGCTCCCCTAAGATTTCGTTTTACTGATCTCGCAGTCCCTGCAAATTGTTTGACTAAGTCTCGCAGTCCCTATGAATTATTTGACTCAGTCTCACAGTGCCTGCGAATTGTTTGACTAAGTCTCAAAGTCCCTATGAATTGTTTGACTAAGTCTGCCCACCTTTTACAAAAGTAACAATACATTTTAAAGCTTGGAAACATAATGACTTTATTTTTAATTACAAAAACATACAAATTAAACTTGTGACTTATCCCATGAAGTAGCCGTTAGCCATGTTGATAAGGAATTTTTAGAAAATATAAACATGTAGCTCAAAGCCTAAAGGAGTCATTGACTCATTTGTTCTTACGAGCAATTTTCCACACACTCCCCTGAAATCTCAACTTGCACCCTCTGGGTTTGCGCACACCACAAGTTGGGAAACAGTGCTTCCCTTTAGAGTCTCTGTTGTGTTTTGGTTGTTTAAAGTTAAGTAACTTCATACTTCTTTTATCCCGGATTTTTAAGACTCGATGCAGTTGCATTTGGTACACTAATATGTTGTGACACAGATGGCATGTAGTACAATAATATGTTGTGTCATGGAAGGCATAATATAGTACAATTATATGGTGTGACATGGATGGCATGAGTACAATAATATGTTGTGACATGGATGGCATGTAGTACAATAATATGTTGTGACATAGATTCCAAGTAGTACAATTATATGTTGTGACAGAGATGGCATTTAGTACAAAGAAATATGGTGTGACATGAATTGCATATAGTACAATAATATGTTGTGACATGGATGGCATATAGTACAATAATATGTTGTGACATAGATGGCATATAGTACAATAATATGTTGTGACAGAGATTGCATTTAGTACAAAGTAATATGTTGTGACATGGATTGCATATAGTACAATAATATGTTGTGACATGGATTGCATATAGTACAATAATATTTGGTGACATGGATGGCATATGGTACAATAATATGTTGTGACATAGATGGCATGTAGTGCAATAATATGTTGTGACATGGATGTCATATAGTACAATAATATATTGTGACATGGATGGCATATAGTACAATAATATGTCGTGACATGGATGGCATTTTGTACAATAATATGTTGTGACATGGATGGCACATAGTACAATAATATGTTGTGACATAGATGCCACGTAGTACCATAATATGTTGTGACATAGATGCCACGTAGTACAATTATATGTTATGACAGAGATGGCATGTAGAACAATAATATGTTGTGACATAGATGGCATGTAGTACAATAATATGTTGTGACATGGATGGTATATAGTACAATAATATGTTGTGAAATGGATGGCATATAGTGCAATAATATGTTGTGACATGGATGGCATGTAGTACAATAATATGTTGTGACATAGATGTGATGTAGTACAATAATATGTTGTAACATGGATGGCATATAGTACAATAATATGTTGTGACATGGATGGCATGTAGTACAATAATATGTTCAAAAAAATTAACGATGACTTGGTGCATCAAATAAACGGTTCCCCCCACCCCATTATACCCTCCCCCACCCCGTAGTGAAGCACGGGCCTATTTTCTAGTGTGTGTGTAATATATATATTTGTATATATATATTTATGTATATCTATATATATATAGTGGTGTATATATATATAGTTGTATATATATATATATATCGCTACACTTGTTTTTTATAGTATATTTTAGAACATATGATAACACAACATAATGACAAGTATTAGGGTTAATATTTGGGTTACATCAACGTTTTTCAACGTTGGGCGAACACGAGCGGCGTCATTTGGGTATGGCAGGGTGGGATATTTGCCCCCCTCCCCCCACCCCCGGCCTAAATTTCCAGGTTTCATTTAAATTGCTATTACTCTTGGCACCTCTAGTAATAAACAACTTAACCAAGCCGACCAAGTTTGGTTTTGCCCACCCCCCTCCCTGAAAAAAACCTTAAATAGCGCCCCTGGCGAACACCCAATTTTAGGGCTATTTGAAAATTATCTTTGAAAGGGGATGGGGGGGGGGCGAGGCACATTGACTATGATAGATGTATTTAATTTCAAGGACCTTTAGAGTTGGACAGGACTTAACAGGTTTGTGAAACATTTGGGTCACGGGTGTTTCTTCTATGGGTAAACCATAATTGCTATAAAGTTCAGTCACTCATACATTTGAACCTTGAGACAAAACACGTACAATGGGCTCCGATCGCAATTGTTTTTTTTTAAAGGGCAATACAGAAGACCAAAGAAACCAGAAGGAAACCAGCAGTCAAGGTTCTCATTCAAGACATGTCACTGTAGGATCGGCCTCTTGGAAAAAAAAAGGGGGGGGGGGGAGGGGGTGCAAATGAAACTGATACTACACCATCGTCTCAAAATGACGGTATGTCAATAATATATGTATAGATGTATCGATTGCCATGTACACCCTAGGCCATGGGTCTCAAACTTGAATCAACCGGGGGGTCCGCAGAAGGTAGGGTCTGGGTGAGACTGGGTCGCATCAAGTATCCCACACAAAAAGCGATTACAAATTCAATAAAGTACAACTGCTACAATCTGCTCAACCTTTAATTAATAACAAATAAAAACATTAAGGGTTCTCAATAACTAGGCTTAACTTACTTCCTCCTACTCCTTGTTTCCAGAGTCCTGTCAGCGCTTTTTTTTTTTTACACAGCTGGGCAACTTTTGGCTTGAGTGAGGAAGCAACTGAGACCCTCAGTATAGCTTGAAGATGCTGTTTAGTAAGTTTGGCCCTGAACTTTGACTGTTTAAATTTCATAGGGGAAAAGAGATTTTCACACAGATAGACTCTCAAAAAGGTACATGATCCGATTGAACGGCCTGGAAATCTCAGTGAAGGTGGAGGACAATGCTTTCATAAATTATCCATGCTTATCTGGGTTTTTTTTCCATTCACTTCCCTGAACTTAGTCTTAAGTTAATAATTGCACTGAAGATAAGTCAGCTACACTTGAAGCGCAAAAAAGGAAAAGGTGGGGGGGGGGGCATCTTCCCCATTGAAGGGGAGACGGTCAGCAAAAATTTGAAAAGTGACTATGTGTGTTTTGAAGTCTTCAAACATGTGATCGAATTCCTTATGTAGCTTTGCAATGGCATCAGTATACTAACTACTGAATGGTGTGCCCGGGTCCATGAGTACTTTGCTTGTTGGGAAATGGCAGACTGAGAACCATAACACAATTTTTTATTATTTTTATTTTTTTTTTTGCAGAATTCCCTGACATTGTCATAGGCAACACTGCCAAGCTGCCCCTGCAAGGGCCGGCGCTAGGGGATGGCGAAGTGGGCAGCCGCGCGTTGCCGTAGTATATTTATAATATACCTAAGCCTACTAATAGTTCCTAATCCAGTCAACACAAATATCCGTTATGACGCGTCCCATTATGACCAGCAAGGCCCCAGTACGACTATAGCGTGTCTTAATATCGTATCGGCTGAATATATAACGTCAACGGCCCCGCAAATTTCAATTTGCCCAAGGCCCCGCACCCCCCTAGCGCCGGCCCCTGTAACTGCTTGTTGAGCAAATTCAGCTCCTGTGTAATGTCAACAAGAAAAGCCAAGTACATGAGCCATTCGGGATCGCTTATTACAGGAACAACCACCCATCCTTCTCCGTGAAGGCTTTGAACTCTAAAACGTGTTCAATGAGTAGGCAGGAGCAGGCAATATTTATGAATTATTGATGCGACGGAAGAAGCTATTGTAGGGAGAATGAATTTTGATTTTTTTATCGTTGAAAAGGCCTTTTTGATTAACCCTATTTTGAAAGTGACCACGATGACAGGCTCGGAATTTCCCTCACTCGTAAACACTAACGGCTATTTTAATGGGGATTCTTTGATACTGTGTCAGATTGATAAGATTTACACAATTAATGTTGTGCATTACCCACAAACTGACTTTTTTTAACTTTTCTCAAAACCGCACTTCCGCCATGTTTGTCTCATAAAATGCTATAAAATAAAAACATTTAGTCCGATTTAAAAACTGTTTTTACCATTATAATCAACATCCAACCCTATACAATCAAATTAATTAGACTAGTCGTTTAGATTCGATTGAAACCGTTGCGGTTGGTCGCATTATAGATATGAGAATGTGGGAAACGCGGGGACTTCATTAACAATATAAACCTTGCTGTCGGGTATCGGGCCGCAAAATATCGTCCTGTGGGTCGCAAATGGCCCGCAGACCACGAGTTTGAGACCCCTGCCATAGGCCCTAGGGACATGCACTCACCCGTTGACCAGTTTTTTTTTGTTTTTGTTTTTTCTTGCAGACATTGTTTGTAGGACTATAACTGTTTAGTGGGTGTGGTTGGGGCGAACTCAATGATAAGCATAGCCATCGCAAGACATTCATATTACAGGATGTTTAGATCTTAGAAATCATTTCGTGAAAGTTAGCGGCATCTTTCATATTTTTGTTTCAATATTTTGTATTTGTAGGTTGGCCGCCTACACCCAACTCCTCTAAAGAAAACCACTGGGTCCACCGGAAACACACCTGTCCACCACTGCCCTTCAGATCAAGAATATTTTTAAGTTTATAGTATATAAATATTAGGGATTTGTAGGCAGAATGATTTTTTATAATGATCTAGTAATATTAATAAATTTAATCAACTGAGATTGTTGTCTTTTTTATTTAAATATCTCTAAATATTATAATTTAATAAGAAAATTTAATTTGAAAATATCATTTAAAAAATACCTTAAATTTTAAGTTAACGTTTTACTCTTAAAAATCTGGCCATTACGCATAACATAAATATTGTTATTATGTGTGAGCAAACATCTTGTGATTACGCTATTTTCAATCTTAAGAAACACATTTTCAAGATACTCGCGTAATTTAAACAATAACAAATGTAAGAATTGTTGAATATTTTTTCAAAATATTTTTAAAATTTCATTTGGATGTGACTGTGTTATTTAATTTAAAATTTAATGTAGGAATAAGGCCGAATCTTGTGCAATAAATTAAAATTGTCAACACTACTCACTACTGACACTACTACTCACTACTTCACTACTCTCTCAGACTCTATACTCTATAGTGTCTATAGACACTATAGTCTACTGACTTAAAATTAAAAGTTATTATTAGGCTTAGGCTTAGGGCTATTTAATTATTATTAACTTAATTGGCTCACTTAATTAATAAAATAAGTCAGAATGAGTAATCATTTTTAATGCCAATGACAATGTCATTAATGACGTGACGTTACTTTTTCAAGTCAAGTGGACTTAAATAAATTTAGAATAAAAAATTAACAACTTAACTTATTACGTATTATTTAGTTTTAGGATAGTAATTGTCTGCATTTACCCATGAATCTAAATTTAAATTTAAAACTTAAATTTAAAATAAAAATTAATAGCCTTATACTTATTTTATTAGGCCTACTTATTCTTTAGTTTAGGATAGTAATAATTAATACTACTAATAATAATTAGACAAGTAGAAATAGTCCTACTAATACTTGTTACCTATACTACTTTAGTTCTATGTCTCTTGGCTGTTGTGGGTTGTTTTTTTTAAGTTTAAGTTTAAGAGCCAAAATTTCAGTTCATAAATTTCAGGGGCAATTATCAACCTACAATTACAATGACAATGAATAAAGAATAAAGAGTTTGACTTTTACCCACTTGAGACTTCGACTTCTTACCTTCTTTACTATGAAACTTAAAACTTGTCATAGTTTCAATTTTTGTCTCCCCTTTTTTATTAAATTTAAATTACTATTCTAGTAACTAGACTATGGTATAATTAAATTAAATAGGCTACTGAAAGCTACTGCTTCTAATCTTCCTATTTTATTAATATTATATTCAAATTGGACTAATTATTATGACTCTATAACTTACTTTGATAATAGTCAGTTATAGACCTAAACTTTATATACTTTTATAAGTAGTGTTAGGCCTACTATTTAATCTATAATTAATAATATAACTAATATAGAAAATACTAATAATGGTTACTTATTAATTAAATTTCTTATACCATAGAATGATAGACCAAGCCTGCACAACTCAAAATGTAAGGTGGGTGGTAATACTTTATGAAACACTTGTGCAGGCTGCAATACTTTATGAAAAAATTGTGCGGACCCAAAGATAATAGGACAGGGGCAAAAGCTATTAAGAAAATAATAAAGAATATTTCGTTACTTTGCGGGCCGCCAAGTGGGTGCAGGCCTGCCATAGACAATAGTAGGCCCCACTAAGACATGGTTAAAACACATTAGCCCAGGAAAGAACTATGAAGAAGCTTAAATAAAAATAATAATTTTAAATTGGACTAAGTCCACTGATCAATCTAAATTATTAATATGAGTAGTTAAATAAAGCATTATGATCATATAGAGTTAATTTAAAACCTAAGTCCTAGTATTCTAGGATGCCTCTACACTTAAGTTGTAAAGTACAGACTTAATCAACCATTTATGATTTTAAACATAAAATGATTTTATTGCCTCAGCTTTTTGACGTTATTGTTTAAATGTTAAAGTTGATTTGTTTATTAATTTTCTTAACTATTATCATCTCAAATTAAACACAGGTCATTTGATGAGTAATTTTGTTAATTTAATGTTTAAACTTCTGTCTGGACACACTGACATCACATTCACCCAAAGGGTGATTGTTTTTTCCATTGCTTTTATTTTTTTGGTAAGAGTAAAAGTGCCCGAACACACAGTTGTTTCAATTATAAAAAAATATACTAAGTTAAATTCTGCCGAAAATAGGTGCTGGAATTCTTTCCAGCGCATTCTATGAAGGAGCACTGGTTTTGTCCACCCTTAATACACATGAAGTAAAGTTAATATTGGTTGCTTCTATCAAGAATTTCCCCATTGATAACATTCTCTTCATGGGGCAGAGCTTTATGTCCATAAAAAAAACATTTCGGTAAAATAATATAATATACAAAGTATCATTACCTAAGCCCTCATTAATAACCAGTGAGATAGAATGACCATTAACTTTGTCATAAAGTTGATCTAGATCTATTATAATTATGCACATAATTATCATGCACACCTGAAATTTCATTGCACCCCCACCTTTGAGAAATATTTGTTAGCTAAATTAGGCAATCACCCAACAACAAACTTGAGTTACGGTACACATTTAAGTTAAGATAAATCCTTAGTTTTACTGCTGGCATGTAGTTTGCTGAAGTAAAAAGTTTCAACCTATTTTGTGATTTTTATTTTTTAAAGACCAAAGTAAAGTTTCTATAAAGTGAAATGCTAAAAATTGTTGTCAACAGAAGCTTCATAAATTAGCAAAGGAAATATGATGTAATGAATATGTCAATAAGCTGGAGATGAACCATACATGCAGATTGGAAATACATTTGTGATTAAGTTTAAGTGTTATTCATATTCAACAGTAGCTGACTCACCCTGAGTAGTTGTGATTGTAGATTATTGAACTTTGATATTTCTAAAGCCTGTGACATTTTTTAAGAAAATTTAAATCTTGGAGCCTCAACGCAGTATGGCGGCTCATCTTAAAATAGCTCCATCCAGACCACCGCCTCCTAGGGTCACACCAAGAGCTTCAAACAGAACCATGAGATCTGTGTCACCGCCCTCAACACTCTTTGAACCCAGCATTCTCAGCTACAAAGACTTATTGAAAGTCCACGATACAGCATATCGCTACATCGCTGCTGGTCTTCAGAAAGATGAAACCAACCAGGTCAACCAAGCTATTGAAAGCTACGCCCTGGGACTGGAACTGTTAAACAAGGCTCTAAGGACAAATGTTGAGACATTATCAAGGAGTTCAAGGGAACAGATAGATAAGGCAAAGGATATACAGATGAAAATGAATAAAACCAAACAGGAAATTACATTTAGATTGCAGACCCTGCAACAAAATGCAGTGCCTGCCTATACACACAGTCATCAGGTAACTGATAATTTGAGAACCAGGTTATCTAATGTAATAACAATTTTTTTTTCCTTAAACTCAGTCTAATGAATGAATACAAAAGGTATCAAATTATTTATTCATATTTAAATGTATGAATCATGATTGTGGGTGACATGTTAAACATACTATTATTTAAAACTATTGTGAACCACAAGTGTAGAAAGCACACATGCCAAAAAAATCATCCACTTTAATGAGTCACAGATTTTCGGAAACAATATCATTAAAAACTGTTGAATAAGGTAACTTATTTTTTTAATGTGCTGGTTTTTATACCCTATTGCATCTCTTTATTTTCCTCAAGATCCTAATGGCGTCTGGTGCGCCACCATCATATGAGGAAGCATTGAGTGAAAACAATAATCCGCCATCCTATGAAGATAATGAACTGGCAGCATTAGGGGAGAGCTTGATGCGGCGAGAGCTAAGCACCACCCGTCTTTCTAACGCCATTAGTCTGTACCATATACCAGATGGTGTCCAGCTGTTTTATATTTCTCCAGAGGGATTTGTTAGTGCCCCGTCTTATCCAACGGCACTGCATATTCTAAGGCTTGAAGATGTTCCTCACACTCAGGGACCTAATGGAGAGAGTGCACCATGTTTTATGCATGTGAGACATTTAGTATTGTTTTGTTTAAAAGATTTAAACATTTGTAATTTGCAAGCATATATGATGAAACCTTAAAAAAAAAATTAGAACTCGTGTAAACAACAGTTTTTTTTAAAGATCAGTTTTCATTAAATTCTGAATCTATACTTATTTGATAATAAATATTTTACCAAATTAAAAAATATGCTATCAAATAATAATAATAAATGTGAACCTTGGTGTCATCAGAAAATGTTTGCTTTGTCATAAAGAGTTTTCTTCAAATTTATCATTTTATTTAATTTTTTTTTGTCTCTAAGAGAGAGGCAATCGGCATAGTTTTTCATTATTTTTTCAAACATTTTTTATTGTATTTTTTTTTTTTACCTTCCATCATGATCAGCCTCATCTTGCCTGTATACAGGTAGGTGATTGGATGTATCCTTTCATACCAGGGACATCACCCGCTTTCCACACTAGTTATGGTGCCTATATTTTTCCAGATACCATGGCTGCATCAGGTTAGTAGTAGTTATTGCGCTGCCTTTTTTTTTGTTCTAAAATTTATAATTTTATTTAATTTTTTTTTGTCTCTAAGAGAGAGGAAATCGGCATATTTTTTCATTATTTTTTCAAACATTTTTTATTGTATTTTTTTTTTTTTACCTTCCATCATGATCAGCCTCATCTTGCCTGTATACAGGTAGGTGATTGGATGTATCCTTTAATACCAGGGACATCACCAGCTTTACACACTAGTTATGGTGCCTATATTTTTCCAGATACCATGGCTGCATCAGGTTAGTAGTAGTTATTGAGCTGCCTTTTTTTTTGTTCTAAATGGTTATGGTTGAGAAGATTAACTTATCTTTTAAACAGAAATATGCTAGCTGGTCAGTTTAAATGTGAATGAATTTTAAAATTAGCCAAGTCTCACAATTGGACAATTGCAAAAAGTTGTGACCTTTTCTGATCTTACAATAAAGGCTGTGTTTACTCCCTGTCTGTATCTAAGCATCCTAATTTTGAAATATTGCATGCAATCTTAATTTAGGTTCAGCTGTTGGCCTGTTGCTGCCAGACAATTTACCAGCTGAAGAGAGCAGGAAATTTGAAGACCTTCTTAGGTCTTTAACCATGCTTGAAGAGCAGACACCTGAACAGTTGACTGATCAGGTACTTAGTATAGACGTTTACCATGGTTTTTGTTGGTGAATAGCCTTTCAATGGCTTCGGACATATTTTGTGTATTAAATGTGTCAAAACATAGATTCTTTTAAAAAAATTTAATCTTTATAAGAATAAACACCATTATTTTATAAAGATTAATTTAAACCAATGTTTGCATTTTTGCCATTAGAAATACATAGAGCAGTAAGACTACAAGAACTGGTACATAGAATACCTTGACCACGAGACTTGGGGCATAGAATAGCATATAACCTATAAATACTACACATAAATACCTACACATAAACTCCTACATCTAAATGCACATAAAAACCTGCTTTCTGTTTTATGGTGCCCCATATGAATACTTACACATATAAATATCAAACGCCTTCTTTATGATTTATTGCACCCTATGAAATTTTAATTTCCTGTCTGCTGTTTACTTCCTTAGATGCACGATATGGCCCCAGATGATGCAGCAGATGTAGTTTCTAAAGGCATCCTCAATGGTTAGTTTCAATAAGTCTCTTCATCAACTTTCAGGAATTTCTATGTTCCAAAAATTTCTTTGGTTACATATTTTTTTTTAAAGATTTTTTTAAAAAATCCTTCACTTGGTATTCTAATGAGTGTATAAATTAAACGGAGAAAGTAACATTTAAAAAACTGGTAATGGTAATTATTCATTTTATTTTTAATAATATCGTCACATTTCTTTTTTTTTTTACACTTCTTGAATTGTAATCTAGTAAAATAATTAATTTCAGCTGCTAACTTTCTGGCATGGGGAATGGAGAAAGGAGCTGAGAAAGCCTCTCATCTATTAAAAATGGGTTCTGAAAAAATCAGAGAGAACACAATCAAGTGCACACAATCTCACACAATAGATCCTAATATACAAAAAGGATTCTACTACGCCAGGCAAGCTACTGAGGGGGCTGTAAAAGTCACAGGCTACATAGGTTTGTGTGCTTCTGTGTGTGTGTGCTGCCTTTGCGGTAAAGTTGTGGTAAAGATTTATCGAGCAAAGTTAGTTCAAAGATAATAACACATAATTTGCTTTAAATCTCACCAGTTAATGTCGGCAGCCCTCATAAGTGTGTTTTTGAGATGTAATATTACTTTAGGAATACTGGCCGCTGACTCCCAATATATTCCACTGGATTCTTCCTCAGACTTAAATTTTTTGGTTGTGCGTCAGGATATATCAGCATTGAATTACAAACTGATAAATAATATAATTTTAGCCTCAAGGCAATGGGTGGGGTCTGTTGTGTTTTTATATTACAATTACAGCTGAGAATTCATTATTGTGGGGGGATATTTTATAAAATCTGAAAGTGAACTGCAGAAATCAATAAACCAGACCTGTTTACTCTTACGATTTTGGAGTACAATGTATGATTTTGAGGTGTATACATTATATATACTGTATGTTTATTTTTTGCTGTTAAGATAATGCATTGAACAATTTTGTGATGATATTGTATGATTTTAAGAGTTTGAGGCTAAACAGCTGTGATAAACTGAAACCATTTTTTTCTTATTATTATTTTATCCATTTTTAAAGTCAACAAGCTCGGGGAGGCCACTGTACATTTAGCGAAGGAGTTAGCCCCTCATATTCGCAAACAAGGTGCTAAAATACTGCCTAAATCTTTAACAAGTGATGGCCAAGAAGGTCGCTCTACCCTAGATGGTGCTATACATATAGCTGCAACCAGCATGAAAGGTGTGTACGTTTTTAAAATCATTCACTTAAATTTAAATAACATCCACATTTTTTAAAATTTTTATTCCATGCTTGTGCTGATAAAGTTATTTAATATTTTCTCTGACATTGCTGATTTATCTGAACTGAGATTCTGATTCTGATAGGCTATGTTGCTGCAACCAAGAACTAGCTTAGGTGCAACGGTTTAGGAAACGATGTGGCTATCCTAACCGCTCCTAGCCGGTACCAGGGCAGCCTTGAAACTCTTGATTTGACTCGATTCAGCGGCGGCATTGTTCAAGTGGTTCCAAGCAATTATTGTTTGTGGGGAGAATGATTGTTTATTTTGAACTGTGTTACACTGAGGCACAGTGAAGCATTTACAATTGTTCTGGATGTAATTGCTTACGGGGTTGTCAGAGGTGAAGTCAGTGTTTATTGAGCGTTTGGCTCTGAGCAAGCCTGATTAGACTGATCATTCTGGGATTGGAATAGGAAATATCTGCAGATCTTCTTAAATTATAACATGGAACCTGTAAGAACTTGTTTTAGTTTAATATGATAGTGGATTGTGACAACAGCTGTCAAAGTTGGTTTGGTGTCAGGAGGAACGCAAAAGTTGGCTTGGTGTCAGGAGGAACGCAAGAGGCCCTTTTAATGACATGCCCTTCCAGCTTAACTTTAGCTTGTCTCCCATGGTCAGTTATAATGTTGAGCTTAATAATCTGAACAAATTTTTAACCCAAAAAATTTATTTTTAAATCAACAAAAAAACAAAAACAACAAAATTTTGTGAGCAAGGCATTGAGTAATCTAATATACATTATTCATTATGTTAGCATGTTGTTATGTTTCATGGCCCACTTTCAGGATTTGGCACGGTCTACACGGGTCTAGAGTCTGCGGCCAGGAGCCTGGGTAGGAGTTTAGTCTCAGAGACTGTTGAGATAGTCCATCACAAGTAAGTGTTTTCTTTGACAAGTCGTGAATGGGGAACTCATGTGTGGGATTCAGGATGTCACCCTTGCAATGGTTGTAAATAAATAAAAAAAATAAAGCTGCTTTATTTCTCCATCATTTTGAATGATCATGAAATGATCATGAAACACAATTTGACGGACATATGGTTAAAGTCTTACACTTTAAGAAATGTATGTTCTTTAATTGTTTGACCCTTACTGCACATATTAGACAGTTTTGAAGATGTTCTTTCTGTCAGCTAATTAAACTGTTAATTGTAAGTATTACACAAGCTTGATATCAGCCGGGGCAAAGGCATCAAGTCTCTCCCATCATTTCTACATACTATTCTCTTGTTTTTGTGCTAGTGAAATTGTTTGTTTTTTATAAAAAGGTCTTCAAATGCTTTTCTAACTGTAATATCCATCAGGTTCGGGGAGCAGGCGGCTGGCGTGACCGAGAACACATTATATGCTGCTGGAAACGTGGCCATGGCTACTCACTATATCAACACCCTGGGCGTGAAGGCACTTGCAAAAAGTGCCGCCAGGGAAACTGGGAAAGCTATGATAGAAAACTTGTCTCAGAATCTTCCAAGTGGCAGTGTGCCAGGGGATGATGACTATGATGAGGATGGTAGAAGGAAGAAGGAAAAAGATTCAGAGCTATAGATAACAATATGACAAAAAAGGAGCCAATGCAAGAAGTGTGCTTAAGAAACTGGTTTTAGTTTTGGGACTTCCATACAAAGGTTATCAATCAACAACTGTTTTAGTAGATTACATCCTCCCATCACCTGGTCTTTGTAAGCTGAATGAGATTACACTTTCCCATTACCAGGTCACCTTCAAGTGTTTTAACTTGCAGTAAGTAGACATGCTTGTCAATCTTAATTTGTAGAGTTGTTGCCAGATTGTAGAACATCCTTATTTATTTGTTTAAGATAGCCGAGAGCAGGTCACCAAATTTTGGAAATTTGATTCAGTGATTCACATTTATTTATTTATTTTTTTTTTTTTTTGTTCAGTTTCAGGCAAGAATTAAACACATTTTTATTGTTTTGTACATAAAATAAAGTACTTTTTAGCTCAGTGAAAGAAAATTTAAAAAAAAACATTATTAATGTTAATCTTAATTTGTAGAGTTTTTGCCAGATTGTATAACATCCTTATTTATTTGTTTAAGATAGCCGAGATCATGTCACCAATTTTTGGAAATTTGATTTAGTGATTTACATTTATTTTTTTATTTTTTTTTTTTTTTGTTCAGTTTCAGGCAAGAATTAAACACATTTTTATTGGTTTGTACATAAAATAAAGTACTTTTTAGCTCAGTGAAAGAAAATTTAAAAAAAAACATTATTAAGACACCTTCGTCAACAATATGACAAAAAAAGGACAATTAAAATCTTTCCACAAGGAAAATTGCAGGAAAGCATTTTTTTTAAATGATTAATTTGTTTCAAAAATTGGGTTTTCAGTTATTTTATATTTTTTAAATGTGTTCATAATATTATCATTGATTTTAAATAGTGCTTTAAATTTTTCTGTTTAAAAATTTTACACAAAAGTTAAGGAGATATGGTGCTTTCATACTGATAAAACTGCCATTTTTTAAATTTAAGGATTTTGTATTCTGGGGATATTTAAGGAAGTGAATCCTGATTGGACTGAAATAAAGTGATCTTTTTTATAAAAATCTAAATTATGAGGACACACTTCCGAACTGCACTGAAAGACTTGGCCATTCTTAAGATAAGATTGAAGTGTGTTCACACCTGTGGCTGGGATGAAGCTTCCATTCATAATATTATTTTCACTAAGTTTTTTTTTAATTTATCATGGATTAACAAATAAAAATTGTGAAGAGGAATCCTGTAAGATTATTCTCATACTTTTGGTTGGTTCTTTCCTTTCTTTCTTTTTTTTTTTTGGTTAAGTGTGATTTCTTAAATATGTTTTTAAACTTTTATAAAATTATTTAATCAGTTCAAATTTCCAATTACACAGATTTATTCATCAGAGTCTTGCAAGAATGAAGTTTGTTTCATGTTGAAAACAGTGCAATTTATTTTAGCCATTTGACTTTCTTCTGGCATTCCATTCCCTCTGAATCACTTAATTATTTAAGTAATGCTCTTTAAGTTTAATATTCACATGTACCTGTTTTTCTTCAAAGTAGCTTACTGTTATCTTGTTTAAGGTTGGTCTATGTGTGTTGAAAGGGAGTTGTGGAGGTTTTGTTTTAGGACAAATTCTATTGCTACATGTGGAGTTAATTTCTACTTAGGTGAGAAAAGAAAATTGAAGAATTTTGTCCCAAAAAAAAAAATTTCAGCCATATTTTCTTTAAAAATTATTTGCATTTGTTAAAAACGTATACTATTCTGACAATTCAAAAATATGGTTATACGTCATAGTTTTTCTTTAAATTTATTTTGCGAGGAACACTGTAAAGTTGTTTTCATTTCAATAATTGTGCATAATCAACACATCTGAAAGAAGGTACCATCAAACAAATTTTACTTTATTTAGCATCAACCCTCAGCAATTTTTATGTTATTGTTTGTCTGCATCTATTTTGTATGGGACAGAAAAGACAACCAACCTCTGATTACATTGTCTGGTCAAAGGTCCCAAGGGATTCCACCGAGCCGCCCACCACCTCATTATTTATTGAAACATTTTTAAAAAATATAATTTGTATCTTTTCCTTTGCACCCTGTCTTGACAGAAATAGCATTTTTCCAGTTAAAGGACAGAGTACCGGTAACTTATTTTTATGTATGCGATATTTGACCCTCTCTTTTTTTTTTCTTTCATTTTGTTAGTTTTTAACATAAGTTTTGTGTAAATAAAACTCTTAAAATTTTCAGAAAATTGTTTAAATACATCACCAAAAGTACACATGAGAAAATAACCTTTAAAAAAATACCCAGCATCCTCACGTTATGCATAAAAATGAGAAATTCTTGGTTTATAAACGGAACTATACAGGTATCAACATATCTTCTATCTGTGTGTATCTATGTATTTACTAGAAACACTGAAAACTTAAACCCTCTTCTTCGCTTAAAATTCACAATATAAATTCTCCTTATTTTTCAATTCAAAATACAGTTGTATCTTTACTTCTGTTTTTCTGAAGTGAAATGTCTCATAGTGCCACTGTATATCTTACAATTAAAGTTAAACATTTATACTGAAAGACCCAATGATAATTTGAGCATCTCTTATAAATTTTTATCTACTAAATGTGTTTAATGAAGAAGACTGATTGACTACCAACTCCCCCCCACCTCAATTTTTTTTTTTTTTAGTTTGACATAACCTAGGCAGGCACCTGTTCACTACTTACTTTCTTAATTTAAAACATGGCAATAAACCAGACATGACAATAAACTCTGGACGTGGCAATAAACTTGACATGAGAACAATCTTATCACTATTTTATGTTTCTATTATTTAAATTATTTCATTCATTTATTTATTTTTGTAGGGTGGGGGCGTTTGTTTCTTACGTATTTTCCATTTTAAATTATTAACATGAATCATGAAATGTTTTTCTTCATATGTAGGCTATACGTGTAAAATGTTTTAACTTTAGGGGAACAAAATTGTTTTCTCATTGCCCAACTTGTTTTCAAACCTGTGCTTTGTTTTATAAACTTTCACTTTAAAAAAACCGTTTGATGATCATGTTGATTACCTAACTTGTTTTTACTCTATTTTGACTCAGCTGCACAAATGATTTTTTTTTTAGAGAGCTTAACATTGCCGAGCTTGTGAAATGTTGAATGGAATAAACTGTGATAGATAACATTCATGAACACTACAGAGAGTTTGAACTTTTTTTTTTTTTTTTGTTTTTGTGCTGTACGTGAACTGCTGACCCAATGACTGAATGAACAACGTCATTGTTCAAGTTTTAAGTCTGTCCACGCAGCTGTGGATCAGATCCCATTCGCACAAAAAATATCTTTTGCAAGTTCTGGTAGATTTAAGTTGAAGGAAGTTAAATGATTTTTTTTTTTAGAGAGCTTAACATTGCCGAGCTTGTGAAATGTTGAATGGAATAAATTGTGATAGATAACATTCATGAACACTACAGAGAGTTTGAACTTTTTTTTTTTTTTGTTATTGTGCTGTACGTGAACTGCTGACCCAATGACTGAATGAACAACGTCATTGTTCAAGTTTTAAGTCTGTCCACGCAGCTGTGGATCAGATCCCATTCACACAAAAAATATCTTTTGCAAGTTCTGGTAGATTTAAGTTGAAGGAAGTTAAATGGTGAGAGAGCACTTTTGGATAGTGGAGAGAATCGGTGCCCTTTGGGATACATTTAGGGTTAGGGATACATTTAGAATTATTCGTTCATGGGTCGTGGCTACCAAGAAGGCTGTTGTGTGACGGTACGTCATGGCACCAATTGTCTGCATTGCCGCACTTTTAGATTTTTGTTTTTAAAAACTTAATTACGTTTTAGCAATGCAGATTCAGGCAAATAAATGATAAGCTGTTAAAACACTAATAAAATTTGATTACATCCACAACAGGCCCGTTCTTAGTCATACGCTGACTACGCATCCGCGTAGGGCCCCAAACGTGAGAGGGCCCCAAACGTGAGAAGGCCCCCGTGAGGTGTTTTCTCCTCAGCTCGAGGGAGCTCCACCCCCGGACCCCCCTTCCGGGGCCCCCAACCTACGCTCCATGCTTAGGGCCCCCAAACTCCTAAGAACGGCTCTGTCCACAATAGGATGCCCAGGTCTAAAAACCAAAATAAAATGTGCTTACTCTTAATAAGTGTATGACCTAAAATATGGTTAGGGGCCATCCATAAATGACGTCACGCAAATTTTACCTATTTTTGACAAATTTTCCCTCTTTTTGCCCCCCCCCCCCCCATTGTCACAAAAAGTTAGACCCCCCCCCCCTCAAATATAACGTCACAAATCTCTGCACCCCCTCCCCCTATAAAACGTCCCTGTGTCCACTAGGTGAGATCGGGGCATGTTGTCATACTTTTTACATTTTTCTAAATATTTAGGAAACTAATTGGTCAATCATTATAAAAACTATTTTATTTGAAAGTTTTTTTATTATAGTTGTTTGAAAATTAGCTTTAGAAAGACTTACACCTTTTTATTAGACCATGACACCGTCTACAAAAGAGCCTCCATGGTATGACAACTTACCCCAACTTAGGGGCAAGTTGTCTTGATGGGAGGGGCAAGTTGTCATAATTATATTTTATTCCAACTGTAGGTCTATATAGTCAAATGCATTTGGAAAAACATATAAATAATATATTCAAAGAAGAAAATAAGTATTTTATTAAACAATTATATATGAACAGCAATAAAAATGTAATGTTTGCACTAAAACACTTTGAAAATGACAATTAAAAATCATCATTAGAGTCACAATGATGACAAATGTAGCCAGGTCCTCCTTCTGTACATTCTTCATGTGCCCAGCTTGAGCACATACAACATTTGATCCATTTTTCAGCATCTCTACTATTAGCCCAAGTATCCATACAAATGATACAGTAGTTTTCATCTTCCGATGATGATGAGTCTTGTCGATGTTTTTTTGTCGCTTTGCCTTTTCCCTTTCCCTTAACAGAACTTTTGCCTTTTTTTGGCTGCGGCTGTAATTGTCTCACAGAATTTTTGAAAGGTGAATCAGTTAATATAGTTGAAGTTCTCTTCTTGCGAAATTTTTTTGAAGGATTTCTTTCTAGGGCCTTTGGTAATGGTCTAACATTATCTGGTGTCGTAAGTACAGAGCATTCAGACATTGATTCCACATGAGAAGTTGAAGGCTCCTGTGCTGAAGTGGATTGTTCTGGTAAAACTGCAACATTTGAAGCTTGAGGCATTGGTATTTCAGAATTTGTTTTGATGGCAAAGGTCTTGCTGTCACTGAGCTTGGAGCAAAGTCCAAATCTGAAAAGATTTGTGGGTTAAAGTTAAATGGGTGGATGCCACAGGAAGAAAAGCCATTTAGTATATTATTTGGTGTCATACTCAATGGGAAGGCAACCTTCATTATTTCTGGTATATTGTAAATTGTCATTTCTTTTCCAGGGTTATTGACCATCCAACTGTTGATGGCAGTATTTTCAGCCTTTTTAAAGGTCCGTAAACAGTTCTGTCAAGTGGCTGCAACTTGTGGGTGCAGTGGGGTGGAAAACTTAACATACCGGTAACAATGCCATTTGCTGTTGCATAGTCAAGTGCATTCAATGACAAGTGTGAAAAGTGATTGTCCACCAGAAGCAAAACTGGATGCTCCTTTGACCGTCTAGCATTTCTTACAAAATGGGTAAGAAATTTACAAAATGTGTCTTCCTTCATCCAACCAGATGGATTTGCGTCCCTATCACTGCCAGGTGGTGCATTAGTTAAAAAGTGCTCTCTAAAATTAGCTCTTGGAAATACAAAAAAAAGGTGGTATACTGTTACTTATAGCAGAGCTAGCACATGCCAATGTTACCAAAGTACCTCTTTCTGCTGAGGTTATTGCCCCAACTTGCTTTTGACCCTTTCGTGAGATCACTTTATCTGGCTTTTGGACGGTGGTTACCCCTGTTTCGTCTATGTTCCAAATATCTGCAGGTGTGAATTGGTGACGCTGCAGACACAATTGAAGATTATTAAAAAACATTTCAACATTGGGTTTGTTAAAACTTATGGCACGTGCAATACTCGTGGCTTCTGGGGCTCAATGACAATGTCGGATTCTTTTGTAGAAAAGAAGTAAACCAATCTCTCCCAGCACATTTATTGTCCATCCATGATTTAGGCATAGCCAATTTATTAGCATCGGCTAATTGATATGCTAGTTTCCTAACATCTTTTGGTGTAAGGCCAAAGTAAATATCTGAAGCTCTTTACAAGTAGCTGCAGAGTTCAAGATGAAGCTCTTGTGTCAAAACTTGTCTGAAATAAAATAAAATATATACATATCAGTATAAATACATATTTTATGGAGTCATCTAAACAAATTAATAATTATAATCAATAAATAGATTAATATTAACATTTTACAAACCTAGGTTGCCTGTAGCCAGTATGAAATGAAGGTATTGTTGATTTTCCTTGAAGATCTTCTGTAGAGGCTTTTGACAAATAGTGTTGTATGCTTCTATAGTTGATGTTAAAATATAGAGACACTTGGGCTATGCTTCTGCCACTTAATTTTACACCTCTCACTGCTTCAAGGATTGCGCCTTTAGCCGTGGTACCTCTACTTGTTTTCTTTTTATAATTGCGGACCATGATTTCAAATCTAATAAAGTAAAATAAAAATTGGCCTAATTATTTGGGTGCGTTTTGTTTAAAACGTCCAAAAAAACTTTCAGCGTATTTTTAAAAAAAATTATTTATTTTAATTACAAATTTCGATTTTTTAAATTTATTTAATTAATTAATTTATAATCATTATCATTAATCTAAGGAGGTAGATGTTGAAAGAAAATTAGATTAAAAATGTGTTACGCAGATCTAAACGTACATATCTATGGGGAAAAGAGTGCAAAGGCAAATTATTGTTATATGACAACTTGCCCCCTTATAAATATGACAACTTGCCCCTTTATAGTTATAAATATGACAACTTGCCGGGGTAGGTGGGAGTTTGCCCTAAATAACTTTTTATCCTTGTTGTAAATTTGATAACTGACTAGCACAACAATAGAAGAAGTTCCAAAACTATAAACTTTTTAATGCATTAAAAATAGATTTTACATATTGTTAATATATTGAACATTTGAACAAAAAGTTACTTACATTTTTTATATTTTTGGATTTGTAGAAAAACTATTCGCGCAAACTTCATGAAATCAACTGAGCAGTCATCTTCTAACCTCCTTTATATAATACCAAAACGTCACAGCATCAACCCAGCTACAACTTTCAGAAATAGTGACTATGACAACTAACCCACATGACAACTTGACCCGCTCTTCCCTACTGCCCTTTACAAACCCTTAAGAAATTCGCCTCCCATGGATTTCAAATTACGGCACCCGTGACAGAAACATTTCAATAGATCAGTGGTTCTTAACCAGGGGTACAAGTACCTCGCCAAGCTTGAGGTGTGGAAGACCAAAAATTTGTATTCAGTGGCGTGTCTAGGGGGGTGCGGACCGTACCGGTCGACACCATCTCAGGGGGTGACACCAAATTGAAAAATAACGTAATTGCAGAGCACATACTGTTGAGTCTAACCGAAATTCATAAAATGATAAAGACCGAGCAGTGTGTGCTCTGTAAATATGCTTTCTAAAAAAAAAAAAAATTTGGTTTCATCCCTGAGATGGTGTCACCTGGTGCCGTCCGCACCTCCCCACCCCCTAGCTAAGCCACTGGATAGGGCAGTGGGTTTTCACTACAGCGTTTACTTATTCATGGTTACTCGTTCCCGATAACAATCAACGATGACGATGAGAACACATATTTTTACCACGAGTTACATACTTTAAAAAAAAATAATTTAAAAATATATTTAAAAAAACTATTTTCCAATAAATGTCGCTTAAAATTAAAACTCCAGAGTTGTTCGTCACATGAATATTAAAAATAAGTACGAGTACGTTTGTTTGCTTGTTACCATTGATCGTGATCTTGACAAGTGGAGTGAAATTAGGGATACCTCTGTGTAGCCTATATGTTGTTGTGTTTTTGCTTAGAACATTGAGTTCACAGTGCGCCCCACGCTTTTTTAAAAATCTATTTACTCATACGACTGTAACAGCTCTGAAGTTTGTTTTGTTGTTGTTGTTTTGTTGTTGGTTTTTGTTTTTTTGTTTTTTTTTGGAAGGGGGAGGGGCATTTATTTTATATTTTTTATTAGCCTACATTATTGGAAGAGTGCGTTGTTGTATTTTTTTAATGTATGAATTTTTTTTAAATTCTTTATATTGAGGGGCGGCATTTTCGGAAAACTGCAAAGTTTTATCTCGTGGAAGTAGGCGGCAGAAATCTTGCCCCTCCCCGGGTGGCTCTGACCCTGGTTACCCTAAATCGTATGCTCACAGTGTTGAGTGCTTGCAACAGGCACGGCCTACGTGCAAAGCAAATGTGTGTGTTAGTGAAAGGCGGGTGTGTACGAGTACAGTTGCGTGGCATACCGTAGGCAGGAGAGTAGCATCCGTTTTAGATGTGGAGGTGTGTAGTGAAACAGCCTTAGCACAGCTGCACAGTTAGTGTTGCCCATGATGGTTTTAGATGTTATTTTGAGAATGTCTTAACAGTGATATACCTTATTGTATAGTATATGCTTAATGATTGTAGTGATGAAAACTTTAAGAAAGAAGAAATTCACTAGTCAGGCTACATTTAATAAGGTGGGTTGTGAATGTACGCATCTGAATCTGAACTCCACTTTAACTTTAACCAACGTTTATCTGGCTGCTACTATTACTATCAGTATCACCTTCAGTTAGATATGTGTACGCAATTATCAGGCCTGAACCGGGCCTAAAAGAAAATTATCCTGCCTCTATCCAGTGGCCTAGCCCTAGGGAAAAGGGCGGTGCCTGGGTGGTACTATCGGACCCTTTTTTTTTTTACTTTTTATTATGGGCGGCGTTTTCAGTCAACGGCTAATTTTTTCCTTGGGGAAAAAGGGGTCGGGTGGGGGAAACAATATTGGCATATCCCGGTTGGCACTAACCCTAGCTACGCCACTAACCCTAGCTATGCCACTAACCCTAGCTATGCCACTAACCCTAGCTATGCCACTAACCCTAGCTACGCCAATAAGCCAATAACCCTAGCTAAGCCACTAACCCTAGCTAAGCCACTGCCCCTAGCTAAGCCGCTGCTCCTAGCTAAGCCGCTGCCTCTATACAACTTTAGGAGCTTCCATTTCAACAAAGAGACTTAGTTACTAGTTGTTTTTTTTTTCTTTTTCTATCAATGTTACTCCAGTTCAAAGAAACATGGTCCAACAAACTAACAGTTTGGGAACCTTCCCTCTCATAACGTATAACTCGTAGGTCCGCTATTGACCTATTCACATGGTACATTACCATTTGTAGGATATTTCACTATGTTTTCCCGTGGTACACTGAGATACAACAAAGAGATGAATACATGTATAAATATCCAGTGTGAATAACAAAATATATAAATGCTATAGGCTACAGACATTAAATTTTAGCAGCTAATGTTAAAATGGATTCAACATTCCAAAAGTTTAAGAACCCCTGCTGCATGGACAAGGTAAAGTCTTTACATAAGGAAAGTTATCAATAAAAATCAAAATCTACGACTTTTCTTTTCTTATGTTCAAATTAATTTGATCTTTTAAAGCTTAATTAACCCATGACCCATGGCTTAGACTTAGATGAAATCTAGATGACCGGTTGGGATCACCAAAAAGTTCAGAGTTTGGTGAGGTGACATCTCCATTAAAGCAGATGTCCACAGTTCATGTATATAATATAAAGCAGATGTCCACAGTTCATTTATACATTCTCAATTTTAATTAAGAGTTCAGAATTGTAACTGATAAATTCTCCCAAAGATCGTTCTTCAATGTTGCATAAAGCAACAGCAATGGGCCCAAGAGAGCAATCTTGTTGAGTGAAATTAAAGAGCGTGACATCGCTAATTAGTTTTGTATATGTAGCCTATCTCTTATTTATCTTTGCCAGCATATGATTTGATTCAATCGCCCCATCAATGACTTTAACCACACTGAGAAATAGAAATTATTTCCTGCCAAAATAATGCACAAATTATGTGTGTACATTGCAAGAGCCATGTTGTCACTGGTGTGTCTCCTGTTCAGCTTGTGCCCATGTTTGCCTTTAGGAAGGGCAATGGCTGTGGAGGTGCCCTTTGTCCCCAAGCAGATACTTATCTATGGAGGTGAGTAGTCACTATTTTTTTTAAATTTTAATAGTCACACCTAACTATTATGTTGCAGTTATATAAATACACAAAAGCAAGAATTTCAAGCATTTTGTGCTGAAATGGTACAAGAGATTTGAAACCCCAAAAATATACCGTTATGGGAAATAAAAAGAGTAACAAGAGCTGCTTGTTTTAAAATTTATTAATTTTTATTTTTACATATTTATTAATTATTCAATGCAAAATGTATTATTATTTACAGTTAATGTTAGTATTGTTAGGAGAAAAAAATAGTGGTACGGTAACCATAATCTATTAAAATTAAAGCTAATGATGAATGATAACCAAAATAAAATTGTATCTGTGTTTCAAAATAAGTTAATCCAGCCCATTGTCTCATTAAGTAAATAATTATTTTTTGAAATATTATTCTTGTATCTTTTAGGTTTATTTATATTTTGCCTTTAATTCATAATAAATTGCAATAAATCTTAAATGATAGAAGTTCATCAAATAGTGAATTTGAAGACAAGGGAGCACACTCCTAATGACAAAGGAACTCTGCCATTAAATTGCATGTAACAAAATTTATTTTTTTCAGGTAATGGATTTATTGGCACTAGTACAGCCGAACGTCTGATTGAAGCTGGGCACAACTTGACTCTGATCAACAGGGGAAATTGGTACTGGGACTCAGGATTCACAGTCACGCCCTTTGTTAAGCTTATCAAATGTGATCGCATGCAAGCAGTAAGTGTTGCTTTTTGTGTGGGTGATTTGAGTGATGAAACCAGTGTTGCCAACTCTATTGGGGCACTAGATACCAGACTAAAACCATTAGAAAACACTAAATTGTTCTCAAAGCTCCTAAGTGACTGAACAAATGATAAAAGTGAATATTTACAGTTCTTTATCTGTATTAAACTGTGTACAGTATGAATTCTTTTTTTTCAAAACTAATAAATAATAGCCCATTCTTGAAATAGTTTTGAAACACAACAAAATTCATCAAATCTTTACTTTCTGGCACAATATTACCTCACAAAAAAATCTTTAAAAGGCAAACTTGAATTTTTCAATAAAATATGCTGGAAGATTTCTATCTCATTTAATAGAGCAAAATCAACACAAAATCGTAAGTTAACAAATAATTATATACCAGGTACTTTGAAAAAAGTGCTATGGAATTATGTGGGTTTTTTTTTTTTGGTTTTTAAAAGCTGATTTGTACTTATCAAATGTGTAAAATACACCTAAGCTTTCTAAGTTTTCATGTGTTGTTCATAACAGAATATTTTATATATTTGTCAGTAGGGCCCACCATAAGACGTTTTACAAAAGGTGATTTTTACAGTGTTTTTAAAATTGTGCTTGTAATTGCAAAGCATCACTTCACATTTTATAGTAAATAGAAGGTAAACAAAACCATGGCCATATCCCTTTCGTAAGAGTAGACACAACTGAATGGGGGATCAGTAGCAGCGCTGTGTGATCCAGCGTGTTGCATCCATCTTCTTTCAGTTTAATCACATTAAACCTTTTTACATCCAAAAACACTTTCTTTGGACCACCGAATCTCCAGGTCCAGGCATTTCCCATGGCCTGACATGTGTTTCTTCCACCCTATAAAATTTCAAGAACGTTTCTATAAAAATATTTAAAAAATTAATATCTTATGACAAAAAACATCACATTACTACAATAAGGATTTGATTATTCATTTTCTCACCTTTTTTTGCTTCACATGTCACAAAAGCTAAAATGTATATAAGGTTTTGCTTCACATGTCCACAGATAGACAAATGCACAGAGCTAAATGATTACATCACCAACACAGAACAAATAGATGCTGTCATTGATTTCAGTGCCTACCATTCCCAGTCTCTTGTTGACACTTTGGATTTGGTCAAGGGCAAGGTCAAGCTCTATATTTTCATTAGCACAGACTCTGTTTATGATGTAAGGATTTATTTAGCTTATTTATTTATAGCTGAAGTATTCTATAATAGACTCTGCTCAAACTTTGTTTTTGCATAAATCAAGGATATTAGCTAAATAGAGTTATTATATGCCATCAATGAATCTGTTAATAGTACTGAGATTTGCAATCTCTTAAAAACTATTTTTAAGCTTTGTCAATCTAATTTAAGGGAAGCCCTTTATTGGGTTCAACTAACTCCAGATGTTTACATGAATACTATCTGTTAAACAAATAAATGTTTGAGGGGGAAAGTTTTTTATAAGTGTATGAAAAATTTAAATACATGACTTTAAAGTCATTAATGGGAATGCCTGCTCTACCCCCATTCCTCTTCTATAATTGTCAGTCAATATGAATTGTATTTGTAGCTTTTTGCATAAGTTCATGATATATTATAAATTTAAGTATTTAGGTATCATCTATTTTCATCTTGCTCAAGTTCATGATGCATTATTTTCAGGTTTGTCACAAGAATCACACAGAGCCAAGCCTTGAGACAGATTCTGTTCGGCCCATATCAGCAGAAGTGAGAGAAAAGCTTGAGGCCAAGGAGAGCTATGGCCATCGCAAGCTTTTGTGCGAGGAGACTTTGGCCACCTACAGACAAGAGAAAAATGGTCCACCATATGTGATTCTGAGACTGCCAGATGTTGTGGGCCCTCGAGACAATACCTACCGCTGGTGGATTTACCAGCTTTGGATGAAGCTCAGGCCTTATTTGGAGAAAGATGTTGTAATACCTTCGCATCTGGAGAAACGGCCGATGAGCTTGGTTTACGTCAACGATGTTGCTGATTTGATTCGAAATATTGTGCATGGTTTATTTCCTGCAGCCACTGATCAAATCTTTAATTTGGCACAGAAAGAATTGATAACCCTAAAAGATTTCCTAGAGGATATGAAAAAGGAACTAAACCTGACTGATGTTAATATTGCTGTCAATAACAAGCCTGACACAATAAGACTATTCCCATCAGTTCATGTTGGGCCTGTGGATACCACCAAAGCAGAGAAAATCTTGAGGTGGTCACCAACAAAATGGGAAACTGTCTTGAGGCTTACGTGCGATTACTACGAGAAAGCCATCAAGATTGTGTATTTTGACAGAGTTAGGAATGACATGATCAGGACCATGCAGACCTATTTCACATCAAAGCCCTATGATGTCATCAGGGGCCTCAAAGCTGTCTATGGCTTACAATACCCAGAGCAGAGAGATGAATTGTAAATTGCTTGTCTGTATATTCCAATAAAATAATTCTATCTCTCTTGTTTTAAAATAATTTTACTCTAAAGGTGGGGAACATTGAAAAGTAGATGATAGCATACAAATTGTAACACTAAAAAGAAATCAGTTTTGTAATAAAATAAATTTACAAATTAAAAACAAAGTTAACTAATAGTCACTGGTGGATTATTTTATTTAGGAGCCTGCAAATAAAACCAAACCCTGATTGTCAATGGATTACAATAGAAAACTGCTTTAGTCATTGATGAGGAATGGAAGAGCCCTAATTGTTTATAGATGAGAGCTTATAGATCAGGGCTAATTCTTTCTAGGACCGAAAGATTTAACAATGATTTTGTTCCCCAGTCTGTATGAATTTACCAGAGTGCTCCCCCTGCTGTGACAAAATGTAAATGATCACTAATTATGTCATTATTGTCACTAAAGAAGTTCATTTATGCTGATTTCTACTCTAGAGAAATACTTGTCTTGTGTTTAAATTGTTATAATTTTAAAATGTCTAGTTTTAAATATATATTTATTTATGTGCAGTAAATGAATACGTACAAGGTAATAAAAAAGCATTTCCATTTAGGCAAAAATGATAAAAATTTCTGAGAATCATTTTTGAAATTTTACAATGGAGTGTGTTAATATTTTTTACTTGCAAGTCCATAAATAATCCAAAAAGCACAGATTCTTTTTATTGGCGCATTTTGAATTTTAAAGATATGCACACTGAATTAGGTATCCTTATAAACAGAACATTATCATACCTATCCTGTCAGATAAAATAAAGAATTCCACCTGCTATTTTTCTGACATTACATTCAGTATTAACTTATGTTTATTTTACTGCTGGGTACGTCAACTTATACGGTGGCACTGATTATTAATTATGTAGCTGTAATGTATTTTTAAAAAAATCAAATTTATCTGTAATGAATTATCAACTTGTTCATATGTAAAATCTCTTTGGTGATCTTTACAATTACTGTTGTTCAATGATAACTTCAAGTACCGGTACACAGCTTTCAAACAATTTTTCCACGAACTTTGTTTCTGGTTAACCGAAGGATAAACAAATGCCCACACTTGTACTTTATGTATTACTTATACTCTGATGATATAATCTGGGCATTACTGCCTTGCATAAGAAATATCATTAAGTATTAATTTATATATATTTGCCGTTTTTTGAGTGCACATTTATATGATTTTTAAATTTCATTCTTTACATCTACTTGGTGCTAATTATTTTTTTAAATATATATATATATTTTTTTTAATAGTATACATGCTATGACTCTATAAATGAAAATGTACTTGAACGCTTTAATAAAATATGGCAATAAAATTGAAAGGCTCCATTCTATGGGTAATTTTTGTCTTTATGCTCAACTTTAATAATTCTCGGTATCATATGTCGCATATCATTTTCTTTTCATCTATATTTGTCAATAATCAACACTATAATCTATTCTATCTTCAAACTTATTTTGAAGAGATCCATTTTGAAAATTCCAAGTATTAAAACTGCTCACGCTACATGTTAGCAAATACACATCCATGAATGATATCTTAATCTTTTAGTAAAAAAAACAACTCAGTAATGTGCACCCATAAATGATCAATCTACTAATGGCAAACGCCACAGTTTAGTAAAAAAAAAAAAAATTAACAAAATTTTAGTTTTGTTATTGACTGCATGCAACTTTACTTTTCTGGACATATTGTTTGTTGGCAGGTTATTAAAATTTATTTAATTTTACTTTTCAGATTTCTATTCAAAGAATTTACAAAAATATAAGTAGCTCCTCAGATTGTAAGGCAATGATTGTGTCATTCTAATATGATTTATAACTGCAATTATTAAGGTAATAAGATTTTCTTTTAAATTTCATTAAGCAAGTCCAGATGTACAAATAAAACTGATGATTATCATACACAGCAATAAAATTTGAATAGTTTTTTGAGTTGATATATTAGAAGGCTTACTTTTCCCCTTCATGGAGTTCCTTTCATTTAAAGCAGGGGTGCCAACCCAAAATGCTTCATGGGGCCACTTTGATAGCGAGTACACTTTATGAAACTGCATGTGATTACACCTAATAATAAAACATTAAGATAACACCACTAAATGCTGTGTAGAAATATTTATCTATTCTTAATGAAAACTAAATTATTTTGATTTTGCTTTTTTTTTTTTTTTAATTTTTAAAAAAAAAAAATCTTATCATTTTAAAATCGATTTATTTTTCCAATTGAACGAATAAATTTATTGGTAATAAATCAGGCATCCGCAATATTTGATGTGGTGAGCTGTGGGTCGGCCATCCCTGATTTAATAAAGCCTCACGTAAATTTATCTCAAATAAAGAAGTTTTAAAAATCATCAGTTTCAACTGCAGAAAATTATTTTTATTGACAAAAATATTGCAATGTGTCTCCACATGAGATGTCAATTCAAAAAAACAAGTTTGCCTTCACAAGAAACATAGGAAGTTGATGGACAGTGCAATTTTTTCCCCCAAATTATTACAATTTTAGTTTTTATTCATTTGATTGGATGAGCTGAATATAATTTTTTGAAAAAAAACAAATGATTTCCATAATTTATTCTGTATTTTCAAGAGCACATTTCAACACTCATGGTCTCCCCGTGTAGATTATTTAGAATAAGTCCTCACCAACCCTTTCACTGCTTGTCACGTGATAGCCGGACATCACTAACATACTCATCTAGCAGGTGTCTTGGATATGCCTTGTTCAATGAGCTGCAAATCTGTGGCATCTTCTTTGATGATTTCAATCAGGTACTGGAGACCTTCTTGTTGTTGTTTGAGTATCTGAGTTGGTAACAAAAAAAACAACAAGCTGTTAATTTTCATAATTACACGTTTGACAATACTGTTATGGATTTACATACTGTTTGGTACATGGGATCTGAGACATGAAACATCAAGTTTAAACACCAGCATTACTCCACCATGACACAATCAAACAATGATAAATCATAAGTCTCACAATTTTTATTTCTGCTTGTGTATCTTCATCCATCTGGTAGGTGGGATCCCCTCGCCCTGAAGCCATCTGTAGCTGCATCCTCATCTGAGACATTAGTTCATTTAAACGACCCTGTAAATAAAACACACGGTTAGTTGATTTTTAAGTTGAGTTTATTTTGATATAATATACAATCAAATGGTTCTTATGTTTATGTTACCAGGTAACGATGGATCATAGTTAAGAAAAATTATTGGCGGTGTAGTGAGAATATCAAAATATTATACCTTAAACTGTGTAGGATGATTAAGCTCTACTTGCAATTGCTCAAGCTGAACTTTCAGTGTCTCTTCTTCCACTTGAATGGCGTAACCCATTTTACGATAAATTTCTTGCTTCACTACAACCTGGAAAATTTCGTTCAACTTTACAATTTTCATTAAAGCATTTTGTCACTTAAATTTCCGACAAAATAAAAAAGATTAGCAGATCAGCTTTAAATAATTGCTTTCTTCAAAACAAAACTAAAGACATTTTAATATGAATTATTCACTTTAATAAGGTCATCCCATTACCCATGTTAATAAAAAGACTTTAGGGTAAACAAGTATGAGCTGTACCTTAAGCAGCCTATGGCCAAGTTCCAGATCTTTTCGTTTATAATCTTCCAATTTTGAGAGCATGGTGCTGTGCTGGGTTTGCAGGTCAGACAAGTCAGAGGCAATAACCTTGTTTAATAGATGCACAAAATCAAAACTTTCTAAAGCAACATTGATATGACACGTATTAATACAATCTGTACATATAATTCTATAGGCGTGAAAGAACGTATGGTGTAATGGTGAGTTCAATAGCGTGCAAAATAAAATTCCTGATAAAAATACAGTGCTTTTGGTGCAAAATATTTTCATTGGTTTTACGGAAATAGTCTAAATTTAAACATAGTGTAATAAATCAGAGGTGTAAAAGGGGATGGGTAATTTGAACATTAATTCAGGGGTGGTGGCGTCTCGGCACAAATTGGGATTCTTATAAGTGTGTTACTTGAATGTATGTTTTGTCACATATCGTTAGTAGATAGGAAGTTCACGCATTGTCTCTGCCCATTATTTAGCGGGCTATAACTAGTTTATATAACAACTTATTTCCGTCTTTGCAGGATGATGGAGTAGCTATTGATACTTCATCAAATTTCAAATGGCTTATGAGGCCGATCCTGGAATGGCAGACTCAGCTGCACTTCTATTTCTCGTGGGCCCCAAAAAAACGTATAAAAAAGCATAAAAAAAGAGCAGGTTTTAAAAAAAAAATTGTAATAAGATGGAAGGGGGCCACGGAGCTAAATGAAATGTTAAAGTGGGCCTCGGGGTAAAAAAAAAGTTTAAGAAATGCTTCAATAAAGCACCTTACGTGTATAAGAAATGCGTCAATAAAGCACTGTACGTGTATAACTGAGATAAGAATATTTTTTTTCCCATCCACTAACTTATTTAGTGCAGTTAACCTAAAAATTTATACAACCCCGGTCACAATCAGTTTGGAAAACAGATGCTCTACTGTAGTTGCATTCAAAACAAATGTTTGAACATAAAAGAAAAGGCTGACACTGTGTGCATCCCGTGCTTAGGTTTAATTCAACATGCAAAGACAAGCACTTTAAAAATGAAATTCTTCAGTGAATCCGGTTAACCAGACTGCATGTTTTTCTACTAGTCTCTAATATTCTGCAAGAGATTTCATCCTTGCCCAGTCTGCTAATTATGAGCCCACTGACCATAATTGCGCACAGACATTCATGCGAACCCTTAGGAATCTTAAAACTTACATCGAGTCTTTGTTGGTACAGTTTTGTTTGCTCAGCCTGGTGTTTTAATCTCCTCTGCAACTCCTTGAATCCAATCATTGGTACTGGAATGTATTTATCAGGATCAGGGTTGTCCAGTTTGGCTTGCTGCCACAGCAAGGGATCAATGCCTGGATTGGAATAATGTGTAGCTTGCAATTCTGCTAGATCATGCTCTGTTTACATTTGTGAGTCATTTGTTAACAATGTATAAGAAATAGGATAGCCATTAAAAAAAATTGAATGCCTCTGATGAAAATAGTATTGTTCTATTAGGTCTCAATTTACCACTGCAGGCTAATTTCACCATTGGGTAAGCTCAAAGTGGGAGTGGAGATCTGACCAATCTCTTCTTGTTTTTGTTTTACAACAATTAGAAATCCAGTCCAGTGAGAGAGAGGAGAGAAGAATACAATTGATTTAAAATATAGTTAGCCTTGTGGTGCAACGGAAAGATTGCCTGCCTCTCAACCAAAAGGTAGCAGGTTTGAAGTTGCCAGGTTTCCTCCCCAGCTATGGGTAACAGCGAGGCAGAGAGGACTCGAGTAAGGCTGCTGTTCTTGGGGAGTAAGTAAATCTTAAGTAAAACACCTCAACCTCTTAGGAAGACAGCAGCTAACTTGGCATGGGATTGAAAACCTGATGTCTACCAAAAAAAAAAAAAGCTATAGCCTTACCAGGGTATTATGGCCAGGAGTGCGTTTAGGTTGAAGCAATAAGAAATATAACACACAGAGTAAGGAATAACCTGAAGAGAAGACAGGCGAAACGGCGGACGTATTCATTAGATTTCATGACATGCTCCCATTTCCTTACTGAAAAATAATTTTGTGTTCAAATGTTACCAGCTGGAGGCTTGTCCAGATATTCCTTTAGCTGCTCATCAGTCCAGCCCACTTTAGGAAGCATGCTCTCAACATTCAACTGTGATGCGATCTGATTTTTCTGGGTTGGCTGATTCAGGAAGTTGAACAATTCATTTGCACCGATTCTCTTAGCCGGACCAGAGGCAGGCCGGTCTAAAATGTAGATCACTATCTCTGTTCTGTAAATTAAAAATCATGAGGTAGTATTAGTATAGCTTTTGAACTTATTGAAAGTTTCAAGAAAAAAAAAAAATTGTTATAGGAAATAAAACACTGACAGCTAATTTTGGCTTTGCAGGAAGTAAAATCAAATGAACTGTGACTTTAACATCATGAAAATTTCTGAGCCCTGCATTATTTGTTTTTAATATTTCTTTTCTGTTTTGACAGTTGTTAAGAATATTTGGTTCACACATTCTTCCTATCTAAACATATGCAAAGAGTAATGTCAAAAGAGATATATATTTTCAAGGGCTCTCAGCAGTGTCAAAGGTAAATAAACTAGGAGGGAGACCTTGGGTTGGGTGGAGGTCTTGGGTTGGGTCGAGGCCTTGGCTAAATAAAATAATAAATTGGTGGGCTGTCCCATACTGTTTCAGAGAGTTAATAGCCACGATGGTTATCCTGTGCTGAGGCCTGATCCCCAATTAAAAGACTAGGTTTATTTTTTTTCATTTCTGCCGTATCTAATTATTTGTAATCTGTTAAAATTATTATAATAATGAGTTATTTGCAATTTGTTAGAATTATTATTATAATGCGTTATTTGAAATGTGTTAACATTGTTATTATATTGTGTTATTTGTTTTGTGTTAAAATTGTTATTATTTTGTGTTATTGATGGAAAAAAATAATGCTTTTGATGTGTGTGAATTATTATCTAAGTGCACCAGTGCCTGAGAGAGTACAAATGTGTGCATGTGTGTCTGATAGGTGAGATACCCCTAATTTGTTTGATCAGTGAGACACTGCTTTTAAGACTGATAGGTCAGACACTGCTCATAAGACTGATAGGTGAGACACTGCTCATAAGACTGTCTGATAGGTGAGACACTGCTCATAAGACTGTCTGATAGGTGAGACACTGCTCATAAGACTGTCTGATAGGACAGACACTGCTCATAAGAGGCATCATCATTATCACATAGTTCCTCTCAATCCCCACCAATTGAGAACACTTTAATGCCAATGCTTGTTTTCTATAAATGGCCATGTGTTTGATTTGAATTCTATATACCAGTACTTGACACTAGTCTGTACCTGTCCTCTGGTAGCGGTCTTATGCCTTCAACGCATACACTCAATGTAGGTTTGTTTCCAAGAATCCTCTGTAATGTGTCTACAATTTGCTGCTGCATTGCAGTGACCTCCTCCACTTTCTTAGCCAAGACCAGTGCAACCTGACCTATCTCATTGCTGCCTTTGGGAATTAGGTGATAGCCAAGTGCCTTTATAGTTGAAGAGAGACAATGAAAATAATACTGATGGTATAATTTTGAAATGTAGCCAGTAAATAAATATACTGGTGATTAAAATTATAAAAGCTATATCTAAATAAATAAGAAGACAGAAAAAGCTCGGCTAAGGTCATATTTGCTTAAAAAATGGATCTCGTGGAATACTGCAAATTGATAGAGAGAAAAATCCCATAAATGTTCATAAGCATAGCCACAAAAAAAAAACCCAGTTAAAACAGTTACTAACTGCTTTAAATAGAAAAATGAAATTTTACCTTAAACCTGCAAAAATGATTGTCTGGCTTAAAGTCAACTACACCATTTTGTGAATAGTAACCTTTCCCAGTCCCCCAGTAAGCCTGAAGCTGATTCCATTTGGCAATAATAGCATCCCTTTCATCTCCGAAAATTTGTGGCAAAGATATAGCCATTGCAACATTAGCCAGGTTTACCTCTTCTTGCTGCTGGGTAGTTTGTTGTGGGGCTTTAAGATGGAAGGACATGTGTGAGAATAAGAATTTTCAAAAACCTAACACCATGTCTTTATTTTTTATAGACTTAATTAAATATAAAAATATTTTTATAAAATGCTGTTCAGCTTCAGACAAAGGAAAACTGAATGAATTTAAGTTAATATTTACCTCCGAATGGCCCAGTAGAGGTCGTACCAAACAATCCTGTGTTGCCAAATGTAGAGGTACCAGTGGCACCAAATGTTGATCCAGCTGAACCAAAGGTATTTGTGCCAGTACTTCCAAATGTAGATTGTCCTATGCCAAAAGCTGATTGGCCTGCAGTGCCAAAAGTCGATTGGCCTGCAGTACCAAAAGCCGATTGGCCTGAAGTACCAAAACCCGACTGGCCTGTGGTGCCAAATCCTGTAGGTGCAGCCGTACCAAATGTTGAAGCTCCAGATGTACCAAAAAGAGACGGTGTCGATGTCCCAAATGCTGGTTGTCCAGCGCTTCCAAAAGTTGATGTACCTGTTCCAGTAGCTCCGAAGCCAGATCCACTCCCAAAACCCCCGAATCCACTTGTTCCTGTTGATCCAAGACCACTTCCAAAACCACCAGTTGCAGCCCCAAATGTTCCAAAGCCTATAAGAAATTAAATCAATTATGTTATTGATTATCAATCATTGGAAAAAAAGAACAGAAATGGGTTACAACATAATGAGGTGTAATTCATAATAAATTTAAAAAATGGATAAACAAGCTCATGGTTGAAAAATTTATACCCGAAAAACTAATAACAAAGCTAGAAAGGGAATTTTGATGTTTTTTTTTAAAATCCGGAATGGAGGACTGAACCATGGTATATGAAATGCAGAGCTCTTCAAAATGAACAAGAAAAAACAAATATAAAATAGTGAAAAAAGATATCTCCAGCATCAACAACCCTGTTAAATGGCAGGCACTGAGTAAGTGCTTACCCGAGTGTTTCATGTAATGGGGGTATCTTGTTTCACTGATATAGGGTAGTGTCTGTTTATAATGAATGGTAAGGAGGAAATGCAGAGCTCTTCAAAATGAACAAGAAAAAACAAATATAAAATAGTGAAAAAAGATGTCTCCAGCATTAACAACCCTGTTAAATGGCAGGCACTGAGTAAGTGCTTACCCGAGTGTTTCATGTAATGGGGGTATCTTGTTTCACAGAATTTAGGGTAGGGTCTGTTTGTAATGAATGGTAAGGAGATCCCTTTGGTGCTTGAGTGAGCTATTTTTATATTTGATGACGTCATTGTAATATTTTTTTTATTTAAAAGTTGCAAAATACTACTTTTATTTGCGTGTCTGCTATCTTGTGGTTGACATCACAAGATTGCAGATGCACAAATTAAAGAAGTGCTCTACAATACCACTACTGACTACTGGAAGCCTATTTAACTTCAGTATTACCTGTATTTGTGGGAATTCATTGTTTCTCTTCAAACACTGATTAAATAGACTTGTCAAGAAAGCCAGTAATATGATGCATTCGTAAAACTACAAAAAATTTGGCTCATACATCCCACTCTTTTCATCCAGATTTATTAGATCAGCTCAAACAGGGCGCGTCAGGGCAAATTCTTTACCTCAAAGTTAGGACAGAAAGATATAAACATTCTTTTGTTCCCCCGACTGTAACAAAATCAAACAATCACTCTTTAAGTCTATTATGTCACTAAGAGAGTGAAATTTACAGTTTTAAATGTGGTACATTATAGTATGTTTTTTTTGGTTTTTTTTTTACTTTGTACCGCGCTTCGAGCCTTTGGGGATGAAGCGTGTTTTTGAAATAAACTTTATAATTATTATTATTATGATGATTCAGGAGGGCTAAATTTTGCGCTTGAGAAATTCCTTAGATGTCTTGTGTTTAAACTGTGCTAGTTTAAAATTTTTGTCTTGCTTAGAATATTTATCCATGTGCTAAAAATGAACATGTACAATGTAATCAAAGTACATTTCCATTTATTTTGATAAATAAAGGAATTTAATCTTATAAAAATAATTATATTAATCTTATGCATAAAATGTACATGCCGTGACATGGCGAACAATCCAAATTTACCTCTGTACATCTTTCTCTCAGTGATCGTAGTTTAAAAATTAAAAAAAATAGAATTGTTATATAAAAGAATAATGCCAGCTGTCTGTATTTATGCTTGAAAGACAATACTAAAACAAAGGACAAGGCCCATATTTTTAATAAACAAGTAAATTTTAATAAATTTAAGTAAATGAATGGTTAATAATATTTACGAAGTGTCTACACGTCCAGCGCGCCGGACAAATAGTGCGCGAGATATACGTCCGGCGGCATGTCACGTGACCGCCGGACGGCTAGTAGTTGTTATTATTCTGAACGAAGTGCAATTAGGCAGATATTGTGTGGTCTTGTGGTAGAGTGGTCGCTTGACGTTATTATTATTTGAGGATCAATACCTGGTATAGGATTATTTTTTTTCCCATTTTAATTTAAAATATTTTATACTATATTTATAGTATCATGTTCATCAGCAATAGTAGTTTCATGAGAAGTTTTAAAATATCTTGTAGCAATTGAAACAATTTAAAATGAAATCTTTTACTTTTATTGGTGGTCTACTCCACTGGCCCCTAATTTATTTTATTCGATTACTGGTACACGAACTCAAATAACAAACTTAAACAAAAATGTTTACAAGCCACTTTCACTTAAGTTTTTTTCTATTATTTGCATTCAAGATACTCAGTACATTACTTGGTAGAGAAATAGATTTTAAAATTAACAAAGTTTTGAATCATTCGCATTCACGTGACAAGGCTGACCGACAAGATATCTCTCGCCACTTTGTTACAGCGGTCATGTGACTTGATCGCCGGACAAATAGTGCGGGAGATATATGTCCTGCGCGCCGGACGTGTAGACAATGCCTAATATTTAACAGAATTGCAATCTCCAAAAAACACACCTGAACCTGTAGCCGTTGATGTTGCAGGAGTACTAAATGAAAAAGGTGATTGTGAAGTTGAGGTCCCAAATCCACTAAATATGCCTGACGATGTTGTAGTGGCAGCTCCAAATCCACCAATTGAACTTGGAGTAGTTCCAGTTCCAAATGATCCTAGACCACCACTAGTCCCTGTACCAAAACCCGTCGCAGTGCCAAAACTTCCAAAGCCTGTAGTCGTCGAGGTAGTTGGTGTACCGAAAAGGGATGTTTTTGGCGCTGTGCCACCACCAAAATTAAAAGCCATAATACTTAATGTAAACTAAACTTTAACAAAATTGTAAAAACTTGCGCTTCTTGTAATAAATTAAGGAAATAAAGAGCATAATAGTTGACTGCAGCAAAAAATCATATGCCGGAAGTTTGATTTCTATCCAAATTACTAAAATATAGTTCTAGCTTTTCACCGAGATAAGATATTTTCTTATTACAAGCACTCTCTTCGGCGATATTGGCAAACTAAAAATGCAGGCAAGCCCACCAAATACATTTTTACGTTACAAAGAACAAAATTTTATGGAAAAATATTATACATATTTTTAAAATATGGCTAAGAATTTTTATTTAAATTAAATAAAAACGCATTTTTGTATCACATGTCAGTAAAATTGAAAATTACCTGTTTAGTTTGGTGAATAGACTGGATGATTTGTGAACACACTGTTTTTCATTATCAATATTTTTTGGTAATATTTATAATTATATTAATAGCAAATAGCCTTATTTTAAGATGTCGGAGGGCGGGGGCTATTAATTAGCTCACGTTACATCCGGTAAATGCATATTTTAAAATAGTATAAATTCAATAAGCCTACATGTTCATTTAATTTACTTTATTTTTACTTTTTATTATATATTTTAATTAAAATTACCGTATTTATCGGCGTATAACACGCACAGGCGTACAACCAGATGCGCAGCGAGAGGGGAGGGGGGACAGATGTGCTAGCTTGTTAGGGGCGCCAAAATGTGCTTTGATATCATTTTATTGATGAAAATAATGGGTTTGAGAGTTGAAAAAAAGAAAAAGGGGTGCTTTACTTTAACTTTAAAATGGATCTTTCCCCGAGCGCGAATTTTGTCCCCGGGCGCCAAACACCCTCGCTACGCCTCTGCGTATAACACGCGCCGGACACATAGTTCTGGAGATATACGTCCGTCGGGCATGTCACTTGACTACCAGACGACTATTAGTATTATTAGTATTAGGCATTATTATTCCAGCTGGTCATGTGACAAGTGGTCGCCAGCAAAATAGTTGCATTGCATTTGATATTCTGATCCCTAGATTTATTATCTAGCCTAGATAATAAATAAATGCTGAGCATGTTAATATATTCAAATGCTCTGAGTTAAATAAAGTGTTTGACTTTGAATCTTAAACTAGTTAGCCTATATCTATATACAATGTTTCCTTTCAGCTGCGCGGCGCGTAGCAATCTCACAGACGCCGTGCAGCAGTTTTGAGTGCCGCGCAGCTAATTTCCACTTAAGTGTCTGTAGGCTGAAAATTTTGCACACAACTTTATCATTTTTGCACACGAACCAACAAACCTTAGAGGGAACATTGCCTATATACTAGTTAGTAGTACTTGTAAAGCTCTACCTTGAAAGCTAAATTTAAAATATGAACCAAATAAAATAAGACCAGTAGACTTCAATAGACCTATGCCTATGTTAATAAAGTTGTATTTCAGGATTAGTATTTAGTATTGCATGACAAGTAGGTGAGGCTACCACTATATCGACCCTATATTAAGATGTAGGGTATATTTCTTTGTGAACTATCGGCCTCCCTGCCTTAAACTTTATTATTTATCACCCTCAGTATTATTTATTTAGCATTCGTATTTTTTATTACCGTTATTCTCTCTCCCTCTTAGCATTGCTTCCTTCTAGAATGCATTATTGCTTAACCCCTACTTTGTTTGGTAATATACCCAAGTATTTTTTTCTGTTATTTTGTTTGCAAGATACTCAGTAAATTACTTGTTAGAGAAATAGATTTTAAAATTAACAATAGTTTTGAATCATTCGCGGTCACGTGACAAGGCTGACAGACAAATATCTCGTGCCACTATGTTACGGTGGTCATGTGACTTGGTCGCCTGACAAATAGTGTGGGAGACATACGTCCGGCGCACCGGAACTGCCTTTATGCCCAAATTTAATCCAGGCAGTGATAGTTAACTTATACTGGTTTATACATCGCTTATTTTCGTTTTATTTTATTTCTAAAGTGTCTTTGAACATCCCCCAACCTTCCATAGCTCCATTTGTTTATATATTTTTTTAACCCTGTTGCCAGATTTTTTATCAACTATAAGTTGGTATGCTAAACGAAATTTTCAAATTGTAGCTGTTCAAAAAAAAAAAAAATACGGGGGGAGGGGGGTTGTTGAGATTAATTAGATGATCCGTTATTTTATAGGGGCCCAACATTGTTTTTTTTTTTCTTATATGGGGTGTATAAATATAATTCCAATTAAAAGCTCCTGCATGGGCATGGGTGAATGGAACGATTGATTATCCATATTTTTTAAAAACCGGTACTGAAGTTTAATAATGAACTCATAATTTTAACTTTTCCTTCACCTAGCCAATATACATGCCAATTTTATATAAATTTATTTTTTGAACATGCTTTTTGATTGAAAAGTTAAGCATCAATAAACAATTTTGGTTTAATTTAATATAAATGATAATAATTTCTTGTTTCATTTTTTGTGAATATGCTTTCAGTTGAAAAATTGCATGTAGGGTGAATTGAAACAACCAAGAAAATGGAGAGATCGATTACGCTATTGGCTATGTACCAATGGGGGCTGTAAAAATCAATAAAAAGAAAAGTTATTGCTGTACAATTTAGTTTTAGGGCTAACTAATGCTGTCTAAAATAAATTTATAAAGAATACATGTAAGATTACATGTGATAACATGAAATTCCATCAGAAATATATACGCACCTGAACTGCAAGATTACCCTAAATTAAATTATTGGCACTTTGCTATACAAATAATTATCAAAGTGTATATAGTAAATTTTTTTTTTTTTAAATGTAACCAAAATCAAGTACAACTTACTTTGTTTGACCTCTTTTTAACCTTTTTTTAATTTAACATTGACTGCATCTCCACAATCTGTGAACCAATTCCACTGTTAGCACCACAACAAGCTATATAGTTAATGATGTATTAAAAAGTAATTTTAATAATGTTATACAACAATTGTAAATAAATTGTAACTTATCTAACTATGTACTATTTATTATTTATTATATAAGTAAATTTAATAATGTATTCATATAAGATATATGGCTTTTCTGTTTACCAAATTTATGGCATCCATTATACCGGTATATACTTTGTATTCTATATAAGTATTATTAGGCAACATAACCCCTTATTAATTACTAAAATACTGTTTGGGGACTACTTTAAACTACACTTTTTTTTAAAATTTCAACTTTGGCACATTAGGGGGCGTCCATTAATTATTAATTACGTCAACAATTTTCAAGCAATTTTTTTACACACACACAACCACCCCCCCCCCCCCCCCCCCACCCCCCGGTCAACAACTGTCAAACAAAGTTACTGTGGATGGGGGGGATAAATTAATACAGTTGTAAATATAATAACCCCCCCACCCCTTTTTTAAAAAAATGGATTATAATATAAATAAATATATAAATACATTTTACTTTGTGCTGATCTATTTTAATAACACAAAAATTGTAGGAAAAACATTTTATTACATCTTTATCTTGTTAAAGTTAACATTTTATGTAGAAGTAACTAAAAAATATATTACTATTTTAATTACACTTATTAATTTTTTGAAATAATGCACTAATCAGTCAATTTTTAAGATACAAATTTTAAAGGAGAAAAAATGATTGTTTACGTCACTTAATCTAACGCCCCGTTCCCTTGTCAACAATTGTCAAAAATTTTAAAATTATCAAGTAATTAAGAAGTGTTTTTAATGTTATTATTTAATGAAGCACAAAATGAAAACAACAAAACTGAGTCAAAAAATGTGGAGGAGCAGTGCGGAGTAAAAAAAAAAAAAAAAAAAAAAACTTAAAATTTAAAAAAAAAAAAATTTTAAAATTATAAAGTAATTAAGAAGTGTTTTTAATTTTATTATTTAATGAAGAAAAAAAAGAAAAAAAAAAAACTGAGTAAAAAAATGTGGAGGAGCAGGGCGGAGTAAAAAAAAAAAAAAAAAAAAAAACCTTGCATTTGAATAATCATAGCTCGGAAAAAGCTATTAAAATTAAAGCTAGAAAGTTGATTTTGGTTTCTTTTCTTTTTTTAAAGTTTGCTCTTACAACTATTTTGTTTTAAGAATTTTTAGAAATTTTTAACTATGTGCCTATTAAAAGTAATGATCTATATGAGGTTTCTTTAAAAAAAAACATTAACATCCAGATGACATCAAGTATTCTAATTAATCAATAACCTACTAGGGTCTACGTTATTAAAAGAACCTCACGAACCTACATAATTTTAATTTTTCTCTTATAATATTTTTTAAATCTTTCAAAATCATGTGAACTTTTTACGTGTGCTGAAGTTATGAAATTTACACAAAAAAAAGGTTCTAGTTCTAGGCCTTTGGATCTAAATAATGATAGACAAGCAGTCACTCTGAGATGAAAAACACAAATCTAAAATTTAATTTAATTTTTTTAATTCCTTGTGACACTTATGTATTTTCTCTTTAAACAGGAAATCAAGCTGGCTTGTATATTTTGGGGTTTCACTAAGAAAATATATATGAAATAGTTAGCCCGACCCTTTCCTCAAATGGCATCCATATCCAAGCAAGGAAAGTATAATCAAATAAACACACCTTTGAACAGAAGTTTAAATGAAATTTTTGGGGGGGATAGTAAAATGAACGATAGTGATTTGGAGGAACAGACAAGCTCTTCATCTTCTGACATGACTGGTGATTCGGAGTACAGTGAGGATGAAGAAATGGACATAAGTAAAAATGATCAGCTCAGAAAGGAAAAACTAGACTTCCAATTGTCTTGTTTACACCACCAAGAGGAAGAAGCATTAGAATCATCTTTCAAAACGTATTTAGAAGATACAGTTGATAAAAATTTGGAATCAGGACCTGTTTTACCCTTGCAAGGGTTCTCAAAAGATTTTACTCCCTGGTGGGTAGAATTTACTAAGTCTCATAAGTATGGTACAGCTGCAACCAAAGGATCCGTCTTAAAAAACAAAGGTCAGTTTCATGATTTTAATTTTTAAAAATATATAGTACATGTTCCTTCATTCTTTTAGGACTACATCTAAGGTTTCCAAGAATTCTAAGTTCCAGGCAAAAACAATAACATCATTTATTAATTGATTTTTGTTGTGTGCCAAATTACTCAAATACTCTTCTAAATTACTCTCACTTATATCTTGAGCATGAAGAAAGTATCCTATGTGTATATAAATGTTATCCCAGTAATCAAACTCTAGTTGGTGACAATCCCCTTTCCAAATTAGAAATTTATACATTTCAAGTTACGAAGGCATTTAAATCAGAACATCTATTCTTGCAAGGCTTAAATGAACATAATATGGTATTAATCTAAAGCTGCCTCACATGTTGGGAGCTTTCCAGGACAAGTTTGTCATACTTGATGTACTGATGCATTGCCAAGTTAAAGAGATTTATAAGAAACATACATATGGACACCCGAGGAACAACAGCCGGATACTTTCTAAGTGAGACCCAAGACTCACAACCAATAGGCACTCTTTACAATCAACCACTTCAGTATCTTGCATATGCTGATGACATAGCACTGTTAGGGAAAAGTAGAAGGGAAATATCAAAACCCATTATTGAAAAAGTAAATCAATTTAAATACCTAAAACACAAGGATCTTTATCAAATGAAAATAATGAACTACTATCAGAAATAAAAGAAAGAATATTGGCCAGAAACCAGGAAAATGTCAGTAATCAGAAAATACTCAAAAGTAAAAACTATTTATAAAACTGTAATCTGACCTGTTATAACAAAAAATGGCAGAAAACCTATTAAACACATGAGAGAGAAAATTGCTCCGGAAAATATATGGACCAACAAAGAATGAATATGGATGGAGAATTATATAGTCTATATCAGGATCCCATACTAGTAGCCGAAAAAGGGTAGGCTACGCTGGGCAGGACACTTAGACAGGATGCCAAATGACAGAGGAATGAATAGGGTACACCACCAAAACCCCAGAGGAAAAGGTCTCGAAGGCAGACCTAGGCTTAGATGGACAGATGATGTGCAAAAAGGTTTACAACAACTGGGAATCCAAGCATGGAAAAGAAAAGCATTAGTTAGGTCTGAGTGGAAGGAAGTGGTGAGGCAGGCCAAAGCCCCACATGGGCTGTAGAGTCACAGAGATGGATGCAAAAGAATGCATTTCCACTTTTATGGTTAATGCCAAAAAAGCTTTGAATCAAGCTAGTTTATGGTTTGGTTAATTCTGTACAAAGATACTGCTGTGTGGAGAGTTGGCAGAAGGTACAAGACTTCTTGGACGGCCATGCCTAAGATTTATGGACGTTTGCAAAAGGAGCATGAGGGAAGCCAACATTGAAATCAACAAATGGGAGATCATTGCTGCACAGCGTTCCAGCTAGCCAACAGCAGTGTATGAAGGAGTCAAAAAGGCAGAAGATGCGCGGAACGAAGCCCTTGCAACAAAAAGAACAATACGGAAGGCAAAATCTTACCAGGAATCAATATTCTCCTGTGAGAAATGCAGTCGAGATAGTCATTCCAGGATTGGCCCAGTGAGCCACGCTTCGAAGTGTAGGACTACATAGCTACTCCATCATCTTGCGAAGACTGAAGAATGTGATATATACATATAATTCTGTACACCTTTATTTTCTACATTCATTCAAGTATTATAAGTGCACCAAATAGATGAGGCAGAAATAAAATTGTGTTAAAAAACAGACTTTCTGGTTTATATTTTCGTAAGGGTTTTTTTTTATATGTTACTGGTGAGTAGGATTGTTATAACTTAACTTCCTTACCGGTAGTTATAGAATTTAAAAAAACAAACAATGTTAGCAGCTGTATCACCTTGTTAATATGAAGAATGCTGTTATTGTCAGTACGGATAACTGTTAAAATAAAAACCTCGAGTGATGAAAATAATATTGCATCTGAACATATTTTGATGAGAATAAATTCTGGAAGTTGTTTCTATTTACTGTATAATTAAAATGTCTGTCTACCAAGTCTAGATTTTGTGCCAAAAGTAAACTCACATCTATGAGTATACAAAAACAACTCATCCTAATGTGAACATGGAATTTATTATTTATATAATTTTATTAATTTTTTTCCCTTTCACTATCTTATTCTGCTTCTTCCACTTGTGGCTAACTTTTTTAAATTTCCCAACTAAATGTATTCTTTCAAGGTAATGACTCATATTGCAGTTGGTTTAGCAAGTCCCCAGAAAATGGAACCCACTGGCTTTGTGGACCTTGGTAAGATAGGACTTGAAGAAATTCCTTTTTTTTTTTTAAAGTTTGTAAATAATTTCCTAGGTGTCTATTACCTGACATTTGTGTGAAAAAAGTTTGTAAATAATTTCCTTGGTGTCTATTACCTGACGTTTGTGTGGAAAAACTATTAAGCTTGATAAAATGCAACAATAATTTTCATTGTGCCTTGAACAAATCATATTTTCTTAAGGACATTTTTGCAAACTTTTCTCCCTTTCTCAGACACTTTGGACCTGTGCTTGTTTGAATGTGAAAACTGAACATATTTAGTTCAACAATCGAAACACATTTGTTTGTTTGTTTTTTTATCTTTGGGTGTATATTTTTTAAATATATTATTCAATAAGTTATTGTTTAGCAGTATTTTGCTGTGATTACAATTTTAATTTCTTCCCTCTCAGCCCTCCTTCTTCCAGTGCATCACTAGAGAAAAAGTCAAATGTGGAAGACATAGTAAGATGATAGTTTCATTATCACTGCTAGTGTAAATTTATCAAACTGAAATAGAAAAATTTAACTCTCAAAATTTGCTTGGGTGGGTGTCCTGGATACTAAAATTTTGGGGTTGCCCTGAGCTCCGAAAATAATGATCTTTTAGGAGGGAAAAAGGCTACCGGTAGTAAATCAAAATTATAAAAATTTCTATAATTGGAAACATTAAAAAATTATTTATATTCTATTAATATTGAGTATTAATATCATCTTAAATATTTTAAATGATAGGTTACAAGTTTCTTTTATTTTAAAATAGGAAGTGCCGTCTATTTATGATAAGAAACCACCACCCAAGGGACGAAGAGCCCTCAAGAAAGAGAGAAAGGTAAGTCTGTCATCCAATTCCTTGGGATTTAATCATTCATTAAGTTAAATGTTGGTCTTATACTGTCTTATACTAATATTTAGTAAGTGATATTTTAAAAATATTATATTTTTGTCAAATGAAGCTTTACAACAAAAGTGCAAGATTTAATTTTCAGTCCGGTTTATATATTTACATATTGATATATCCTTTAGTGTGGGCTATTAAATATGAAAATGTTAATTATCAATTTAATTTTTCATCTAGGCTGAAAAAGAAAAGACTTTGGGTGCCAAATGGTTTGGAATGAAAGCACCTGATGTTGATGATCAACTAAGGAATGACATGGAAATTATCAGAATGCGTGGTGTCCTTGATCCCAAAAGATTTTACAAAAATCATGACCGAAAGGCATTACCAAAGTACTTTCAGGTGGGTAATTATATATTTATGTTAATGAAGATATTATTACCAAATAATGTCTATTATTCTATTAATTCTATTACCAAATACTGTTTATATCTGAATATTTGAAATGTTTATTCCTTTTTATCATGAAATTTGTACTTAACTTTCTATTAACTAACACCATTCTTTACTATAATATATTTCTAATTAAGGGTGCTGGTACTAGCTATTTCAATATTCTTATGAAACTACCCTTATGTACTTTTTAAAAAATTTAAACTCTTTGCTGCATTGTCTTAAAATAGGGTTTTATAAATGTAGTTTGGTTTTTTTTTAACCAGATGGGAACAGTTATGGATGAAGGTACAGAATTTTATAGCAGTCGCCTTACAAAGAAGCAAAGAAAACAGACATTGGTGCAAGAACTTATGGCTGATGTTAATATAAGACAGTGAGTGGTCAAATACTAGTTTTCATGATTTCATGTTACAGCAATTTTGCAAATTTTTTAATATTTTTTATCTACATAGCACATTTTGTAATAATTCTTATGTCCTCTTACTGCTTTAGCCCAATACAGGCAATGGCAGTTCAGCCTTGCTTATGGCATAATTAAACTTGATGGTGTGTTGATTTTTTTGTGTTTAACTGTTGGCTGTTGAAAAAATTGAAAAATCTCTGTGTCGAAATGAGCAGTCTTTGACAAAAATATAATGGTAAACAATTGCTTTCTTAACTATTTGTAAGTCAACCATACAGGAAAGTAGTGTAGTAGTCATATTATATTGTGCACAGCAGAGAACTAATAATTCACACATTTTTTTTTTATTATTGCTATGTCATAGTGACATCTTGTGGTTATAAATTGCTAATTGTTACATCAAGTAACAATAATGTGCAGGTATAATTCTAATGCAGAAATTGTGTTTACTGACATCATACCATAATGTTCATGTGGCTTTTTTTTTTTTTTTTTAAATATTGAAATTTTTTTTTTTCATTTCAAAAACTTTCCTTTGTAGGAAAGTAAAATTTGTAGTGCTGACTTGTTACTTCATATAAAACTATTTAATCAAGTGTCAGTTTCATAATTTAAATTCTTGCAATTTTTTTTTTTTTTTTTTTTTTATTTTTTTTTTTTTTTTTTTTTTTTTTTTTTTAAATATTGAAATTTTTCTCTTTCATTTCAAAAACTTTCCTTTGTAGGAAAGTAAAATTTGTAGTGCTGACTAGGTACTTCATATAAAACTATTTAATCAAGTGTCAGTTTCATAATTTAAATGCTTGCACCTTTAGCTCTCTACCATAGTGAAATAGTCTCTTTTGTATGGAATCTTTTTTACTGAATTTAAATGTTCCTCTATTTCTTTATTATAGGTATAATAAGAGGAAATATGCAGAGCTACAACAAAAAATGCGAGGAAAACAAAGATCTAAACCCAGGCCAAAAAAGACCTAAAAGACTATTGAACATGTTCAATCTGCACTTGTTGGTTCTTGATGTTAAATTTAATTTAAAAAACAAATTAAAAAATCTTTCCAATCTTTGTTACTTATTATCACTGTTTTTGGCAGGTAAAAATTTAATTAATTAAAGCATTTTGCAAATTTATGTATCATAATTTTGTTAACTCCCTGATTGCAAAAGTAATGAAATTTCAGTGTGTTTCTATAATCCTTAACCTCATTAAAAACCAATAATTTAGGCCAAAGTGGTTTGAAAATGCATCTAACTCCTTATGAATATAACTTTTATAAATTTTCCGTGACAGCATTTTTTAGTTTCGGTAGCCTAATTTTTAAGTACGCCACAGCATGCAAAGAGGGCACTCTTCCTGGGTAAAACATCAGGGGGCACGAAAAGAGGGGGGGGGGGGGGTTAGTTGTCACCTGGTGTGGGAAACTCATGTTGTTCCCTCAAAAACAGCATGCAAAGAGGGCACTCTTCCTGGGTAAAACATCAGGGGGCACGAAAAGAGGGGGGGGGGGGTTAGGTGTCACCTGGTGTGGTAAACTCATGTTGTTACCGCAAACATTAACCTGACCCTCACCGAGTAATTCTTAACCAGATCATACAGGATAGCCTATAGTAATGTTTGTAAATCAAGTAATAAAACACACAAAAAAAAGACATACGAAGACGACATGGAATTTGAGGTAACAGTAGAATATTCTTGGTATTTCATTTAGAAGTTCACTTTCAGATAACTCATCATAGAAAGTTGTTAGGTATGGAAAAGGACAAAGTAACTCTTCTTCGGTCGCCAAAGTTGACTTTTAGCTTGAGCAGGATAAATAATATCTGCTACTTCCTTTATGACTCTTGATCTGATTTGGAAGTCAGAATGAAAGCGATTGATACATTGAAGCATCACCCTCTTGGTTTCTTCACTCCTTACAAATTTCCTTACTTCCTAATCTCATGTAATTTTATTCTTGAACTTGGGCTTTTCTCTACTGAAATTCTGTATTGGTCTGATTTTTTAGAATGATTTTTCAGTTGCATGCTTCACTGTTTGACTGTAGTGTTTCTCATGCAGAAGAAGCTTTAGTGCTTGTACTTCTAGTTTGGTTACCACTTTGTCAATAGTTACATTTTTAAACAACTGAAATTGCTGAGTATGACAGGTTCCTCAAGTATAAGTTATAAGCACACCTAAGGAGAGGGGGTGCAGCAGGTACATTGCTCCTTGTTGATTATTTTGGAACCATATCTGTTGCAGCATTAGCTCAGCATTTGTCTATACAGAAGGATGGTCAGCAGCTAAAAAGGGGCGAAAATGATGCATTTGTATCCCAGACCATGAGAGAAACAATAGTCTTAGGCAGTGCTATCTGGCTTGGCGAGAACTAGAAAGACATCTGGCAAAGGCATTGAAAGTCTGTTTGAGACATCAGTTGAAACATAATCTGTCAAGTGGTACAACATTATGAAACGAATCATTGATGTTGTAACATTCCTTGGTGAATGGGGGGCTAGCTTGGCTTGGCAGTTCCCAGCACACGTGTGAAAAAGATAATGGAAATTTTATAGGAGTAATAGAGTTGTCTCATTGGGATCCAATTCTAAAAGAGCATGTGTTACAAGTTAAAGAGTCATAAGAAAAGGGAGATAGATAAATATATATATTGCAAATATGTTTGAATTTAATTAATAAATTATACAATTATTGGTTTATGTGTAGGTAAGGGAGCCCATATTTAGTCTTTTTCCAGTACTGAATAATCCTTTCTGTAAACGTGACTTAAGTGTAATAAGGGGCTGACTGTATTCCTCAAGTATATTAGCACATAAGTAAAGCAAGAATGTTAAAAAAATTATATCACAGAGAGCAGGCAAAGACTGGTGCTGTACTGTTGAGCTCAAATTCTACGCTGGGGGGGGGGGGCGCCACACTGAGCTTTAATCATGGCCATACATTCATCAAAAATGGATTTAAATGGTTCTACTGCAGCATAACTATCCCAGTGTGTTGTTTATAACCTTTTCTCCAAAATTGAGTGGAAGCAGAAAAGAAGGAAAACATTTCAAGAGGAGTACCAAAAAATGTTACATATGATGCATTTTCAGCAAAAGAGTGTTGACCACACAAGTCAAATGAATGATCTGCACATTCATTTAAAATTAAAAATAGCTTTATTATTTTTTCTACTTCCAGTAGGGCTTGTAAACCTCCACGAATTCCAGACATTTTTGCCGCATTATTCATATTCGTAGCCTGAGATTAGCTTGGCACATTATATCATTGTGCCCAGGTCATTTTCTCATTTTTTAAAAAGAATGTCAGAACTAAAGTCTAGTCATCAGTTTTATTTCCCGTTTCAAAACTAAACATAATAGAAACACTTCTATCATTTCGACTTGGACATATTGTACGTTTTCACATACTTTAATCACCTTTGATATCTGGTGAATGTATTATATGGCGGGTAAACTATTAAAGATTATTACAAAATATAATATATTATAATATTTAAGGCAGCGGCTCTCAACCTGTGGTTCCCGACCCCTTTTGGGGTCGCCTAAGGACTAAGACCATCGCAAAACACATATTTATGAAGTGGCAACGGAAATAATTTTATAGTTTGGATCACCACATTAAAGGGTCGCGGCATTAGGAAGGTTGAGAACCACTGTATTAAGGGATGGACATACGAGTTTGTTTTAATGACCCACTCCAGGCGTCTCAAATTTAATCTACGCCACTGATATTAATAATATGAGAAAACTGACTAAGAGGCTCTGGTGGTACCTCGTTCTTGTGGCACTCAGTCTGGTGGCAAACTGCTCTCGTATTTAACATAGATATGTTATGAAAGCGATTCGTAAGAGCTCAGTTAAATTTGCAATAATCTATTGTCATTAGTCATTAGAAATTTATTTGGTGTCACCCCCGTCTCCCCCTTGTCCCCGTGAGGGCGTCACCCGGTGCGACTCACACCCCTCAAATTACGCCACTGGCTACGGCTTAAAATTAAAATAAATTATTTTTTACATTCAAAATCACCCTTTTCTAATATAGTGTGTATAATTTACTTGATTACTTTTAATTATAATGTCTATTAATGTACTATTCTTATTAAACTTTTTTTTACCGAATATTAAAGGAAATGTTTCATTGACGACATCCATATTTTGTAAAATAAACATGGCGTCTACTGTGTTGATATCTAAAAAAACTATACAGGTTTGTTAACATATTGAATATTAATAGTCGTTTTAAAATATTACTAATGAGTAGCATGATATGGTAAATGAGAATGTGAAATGGAAAAGATAACGATAATTATTTTCTATAATTTGCAGTTGATTTTAATATTTCTTTCGATTTTTACAACGACCAGACTCGGTTAAAAAAAAACTGGTAGATCACTTAAAAAACTCCATCTCACTCACTCTCACGCACACTACACACTCAATTATATGATTTGTCTCCGTCTCAGAGTCTTAGCATCTGAAAATAAACGTCTAAAAAATTAAGAAATTTAATGAAACTTAATTATGTTAGGGCTAAAAAGTTTTTTTTTTTTTTTTAAATGACAAGTATTGTAAAGATCAAGATTCATTTTTAAAAAAATGAAGATGTGACACATGTTCACTCACTCACATGTGAAATGTGACATGTCAATGTCTCAGATGAGAAGATGAGCATTGGGTGGCATATTGGCCTGAGAGCCTATAAGACTAAGGGCTAAGGCAACTAACAAATAATTATGTGACCATTATTAATCTTTATTCTTACTCTTACTGTTTTCGCTGGTACGATATTGGACCAGTTGTTGGTCCATAATTGGATGCTCCATTATTCCATTAGTAATCCTGGTGAGTTGTATGATTGTAACTGTAACTAATGGTGAAAGGCAAATGGAACTAGGAGATACTTCTGTAAAAAAAAAAAAAAAAAAAAATAAAAATTCCATAATTAAAAATTAAAAAAAAAATTGGACCAGTTGTTGGTCCATAATTGGATGCTCCATTATTCCATTAGTAATCCGGGTGAGTTGTATGATTGTAACTGTAACTAATGGTGAAAGGCAAATGGAACTAGGAGATACTTCTGTAAAAAAAAAAAAAAAAAAGAATCAACATTCCATAATTAAAATTTAAAAAAAAACCTGCACAGCAAACTTTAAATAAAAAATGGGGTAAATTTACACTATCTGTACCATGACCCATACTCATACACTGCAATAAGTGTTAATGACCTGTGGTTGCTCTGTTCTTCAACTAAAACGTATGTGCTACCCTTTTTGGAACCAAAGCATGACCTCGGCAGCATATTTAATGTGCATTGGCATTGGTGTTTTCCTAAGATCATCAAAAAATGGAGGCCTAATTTATCTGCACTCAAAGAGTAGGAGATATATGCAATTGATTTTTTAACGTGGTACAAGTTATGTGGCATATCCCACCTCACCTCCATTTTTTTTTTTACGGCATTGATCATGGGGAGAGAGACTATTTATTTATGCAGAGTAAAGTTAAATTGAATTCATGAGTGACATGGCAAGAAGTTGCTAGAAATGAGCTGATATAAAAAGGCTGATGTTTCCCAAGTCCCAATGACAACAATACTTATATTGATGGAGGCAGGAGGGCCCACTGGGAAACCATCATTGTACATCTGTTAACCCTGAGAAGGTGCTTTTCCAATAATTTTGGTTTTGAAATTATTTGATCAGGGAAAAGAGAAAATGAAAAATATAGACAAATCTGCATTTTGTGTATGTAAAATATGCTTCTTTTTGCTGATCAGAAAATTGGGTCACATTTGTGAAGCTGTGTAACCCCAATAAGTTCTTTTAATTTTTACTTTTTTGGTGAAGAATGCTTTTTGTTGACTCGTTTGTTGTGGTTTGTTTTCCTTCAGGTTTTCCCAATTTCTATGTTTCTTATTGTCAGCAGCTGCTAGGTACAGAGAAAAAAATTCTTGAGTTTCCGTTAATGGCTTGTGGTGGTTTCCAGCATGTTATTCAATCTAGCCTCCAAGGAAAATTAAAGGCCAATTCTTGATTATTTCAGAGAATAACTGCAAGTACATGGAATGGGAAAAGCGTTGAAGGCTTCTTAATTGGAGAGTTAGATGTCAATAGTACAGAGGCTTATTCTGTTTCTGGTGTGTGGCGAAGCAAACTTATAGACAACAATGAGCTGAAAGAGGACACTGAGTCTTGCTTAAGCCACTTTTCAGGAGGTTTGGATTTTTATTGTCCTATTTTTATGACACCATTTGTTAAATTTTTCTGTAAATTAGATAATATCAGGTTGAAAAGTTCAATGACAAACTATACAAGCACATAAGATATGCTCATAATGGCATTAACTGATTTGACCTTAAGCATGCAAAGGAAATACATTGCGAATAGATATCTTATAATAACATTTCTAATAATGGCATAAAAATTACATTTCTGAAATTATTAGTCACCTTTAAGGTTAAACTAAAGATGGTATACCACCATGGTATAGTTTAAATATAAAGTAAAGCACCATTCATCTTACTTTCACTTCCATTGTGAATTGTTATTGTAAAACATGTAGTATTAGGATCAAGAGTTTTACAAGTTCATTGTAAAAAGTTGTGATCTCTTGTTTACTTTGTTTAGGTAAACATGTGGTTGGTTTTGTTTTTCGACCATCTGAGCGCTCCATCAAAAGTCTTGTTGATAACGATCAAGCCAGTATTGACAGAGAATTTGAAGAAGTTTTTGGAGATTATAACATTTGGCTGGTTAGATTTTAATTTATGCACTTTTAAAAAAAAAAGAGTTGTATTTTTATTAAACTCATCTTTGTAATATTTGCATGAGGTGTGTCAAACCTTTGGAATTTAGAGCAACATTTTCAAATATAATGACTTTGTTGGGCTGATTGCATACCAGGTACACTTGAAGAAAAATGTTGATTTACATTTTAAATAAATTTCTAACAATTAATTTTTGATTAATGGTTAGGTGGGAGGACCATTATATCGACAAGTTCAATTGAAATTTCCCTCAATGTCAAAACATGAAGGAGCCTATGTGGAACTAACAAACCAATAAACAAGAAAACCTATAAATGTATAGATATTAATTTCCTGGCAACTTAACAGTTTCATAATCACCTTTGTAATTAAATCGTCAATTCTTTATTTAAATATTGTTTTAACAGCTCTGATTCTATGACCCTAAGCTATATTAAATGAATATCTAACCTTAATAAATCTAAATGTATCAAACAAAAATCTTGTGTAAATTTTTTATTATTTTTTGTTTGGAATTCCAAAAAATCATGGTTAGTTATGTTTGCATTTTAAATTGAATTATAGGTGGTTAATTTTTAATAAAAATGGTGGGTTTTTTTATTAATGAAGGAGCAGCTAGGACTGACACAAGCAATTGTCTTGGGTTTGTGCCAGATGCCCCAAACAGATCAAGAATTGCAACCAATATTTTTTTTGATGACTGAAGACAGTGTTATAAAAGCAGACTTCATTCTTGCTGAAGACTTAAAACCTACAGTAAAGCTGAGATTGAAGGCTGATGTCCCTCTGTGCATTTCAACAGAATCAAATACTGGTTTGTACTTTTCTAAATATCATACAGTTTTGATTGACATATTTATGAATTATTTAACTTAAAGTATTCGAATACAGGGTTATAAAAATATTTTTTGTTAGGATACTCAATTTAAGATGGTTTTTATCATTACAAGATGAAAATTATTTTCCTGCTTATTTATTTCTCTCTTTGTTTAGATGACCAGATTAAAGCTGCTCTGGATCAAGAGTTGATAAAACTGCAAAATTATTCCCAGTCTGGGGGCTTTGTCTTTGGCTTTGATGAAAACAAAGTCATTCTTCAAAGGGCAGGGACTCTGGATTCTACAGCAGATGTCTGGTTGACATGTGGAGATATTGGCAAATATTTTAATGCATTGGCAGGACTGGGAGGCAGCAAAAAGAAAGTTGGCTGGCTGCAGCAGGCAAGTGACATTTGATAGTAATGAATTTTCATTGTCCATCATTATACATGCTTTTTTTTTTTTAAATAACACTTTGTGGACCACTTAGATTATAGGGTATGGCTCTTCTTTGTTTAGCAGCTAACAGTGCACTGTCTACAAAAGTGATAAATGGCAAGGCACAGAGTAAATGCTCACCAAGTGTATCATGTAATACAAATTTACCCACTTTGCATATTGATGAGTTTCCTACGGCCGGATCTAGAAATACCAAGCCCGCTGCCATCTTGGTGAAAATGGGTCCCTGTCCTGCTGTTTTCAGGATTAATGTAGATTTTTTTTATCTTAGCCAACGCTTATTTTTTATGAGTTAAAAATCTAAGAGTTATGTTTTTCGTGATGAAGAGATATAAAATTTACATTACTAATCGTTTCTTATATTCCAACTTAAGCAAAATTTAAAAAATTTAATTATTGTAATATTGATATGACACCTCCATATCAGCAGGTTTTGAATTTACAATTCTAAAAATGCGGTAACAGGGTGAAAACTGTTTCTTGATATAAAATAGCTGGTTATTTCTCCTTGAAAATATCATTGCACTTAGTATATAAAAAATCATACAATTGGTTATGCTTGATATAGGATTTATGAGCCATATGTTTATTTTAATGACAAATTTGGGCTTTGTACTGTAATAAAACTATTATAACCAGAAGTAGGCAATGACATACGGTACCAGTATACAGAATAAAGATTTTTTGAATTTTCAATTCTAAAATTATGGCAACAGATGTATAGATTGTTTCAATAGTTTATAAAAAAAAAAGTTGTATCATGATAAACATTTAACAGTTAAAGTTAAACAGTAACAAATTCATTGTAAACTAAAAATTTGTTTTAGCCATTTGTTTTGAAATGTGAGCTTCTTCTGGTTCTTTTCAAATGAAATCTAAGAACAAGATATGCAAAACTTGAATTCATTAACAGGAAAAAAGATGATGTTTCTGCTAAGAGCCTTCATCAGAAAACAAGACAAAAAGCAGAAAACAATTATCAGATCACAGTAAAAAATACTAAAGAGATTTTTTGTTGCCAGAAGTAGGATTACAGGAAGTGAAAGAATATAAATATTGGTACTGTGAAAAATAAGGTAGAGAAACGGACCAAATAGGTTGGGATACATGAAATCTAAGCAATAAGAAAAAAAGAAATACAGGGAAATTGAGAAACATTAGTAAGAGAATATTTCATTAATACCATGTGGAGATATGGTCCTTTTCAATATTCTTTACAGATTCATACCGGGTATGCTGAAAAAATTATGTGACATCTTGGAACATTATTGTGTAATATGAAATTTACCATTCTTAAATATTCTTCTGTTGGTAGATTATCATCCCTGTATCCATGTTACAAGTCATAACGGTTGAGCCACAGACAACAGTGCAGTATGCCCCTATAATCAGGCATCATATGGGTAAGTGCATCTATCTTTAATAATTGTAAACAAAAACAAGATTAAGAAATTTCAGTTAAGATTGGCACTTTCAAACTTACATGGCTTGCTTGAACTTTTTCGATACAGTTTTCATTTAACTTGCCTGTCGTGTTTTCCTTTAAGGCTCATTCAAAACAACAAATATGTTACTGCCTATTGATGTGCTTGTTGAAGTCAGAGACAATTTACCAATCGCTGAGCTTTTTAATGTGTTGAGCAAAGCTGTGGGTCGACAGATTTCAGCACTTTTTGAATGTTTATCAGTCTACACACAGGTGAATAGTCTTAATATTGTATTACTGCATAGTTAAAATAATAATGTGCTTTAAAAATGACACTGAATTCATACTGGCAATAATTATCATTTTAATTTTTGTGACAGGTAAATAATTTCTTCCATTTAAAACACTGGATGTTTTGAAATGTGAGCTTCTTTCTTCTGTTGTTTTTTTTTTCAATGTACTTCAAAAATTATGTGACATCTTGGAACATTAAATAATTAATTTGAAAAGTAACATTATTAACTATCTAGTGTTTATTTTTATCTGAAATTCCTTTGCAATGAAATTGTTCTGGAGTTAAGAGAACATTACTTAACCACTATTATGATCCATTTAAAACACCTAAGTATATTTTTTGTGTACCAGTATCTTGCTTTGCCTTTACTAATATACTAACAGGTACATGAAGATGTAAAATTCAACACATGCTGGGCTAAAAATGGGTGGGGTGAGATATGGCCTGAATCCTTGGTGGGTAGCGACAGGCAGCTGGTGCTGTGTTGGCCTTTGTTTGCTTCTTTTTGTTTATTAAATTTTTTTATGTCATTTGAATTTCAATGTTTGGCATTTATAAATTATATAAACCACTTTTAGTTATGTAGTGTGTGGTTCTGAATTTTTTTTCCCGAAATTAAATAATGCATTTATTTTTTTAACCTGAAACAGCAAATAAGTAGCAGGGTAAAATATGTCAGAATGCACATTGTCATTAAATGGGCCGAAAAGGATGAGAACTATAAGTAACTAATCTTTAAATTGCATCATTCTAATGAAATGTAGATGGTAATATCAAGCACGGAAACAATAAAATCTTTAATGAGGAACATGATAAAAAGAATCTGATGTTTAAATTGTCTAGATCTGAATTTAAAAAAAACAACAATTTTCTGATTTAGAATACTTTTGCCAGTACAAATGTTAACAAATTTTCAATACTTATTTAATTTCCATGTACATGACTCAATAATTGGTTCTAATTAGTTTTCTTTATTATCATTTAGAAAAATGAACTTCATAGTCCAGAAGTATTCCATTTTAAGCCAAGTTGTTTGGACCATTCAGTTACAATTGTTTACCCAAAGGGAGCTACAGACAATGAACTTGGTAAGTGAATTTATTTTTAAAGATTTCTTTTTACCCAGGTTTGTTCCATAAAAAATTAGATCATTTGGGCATCAAATTGTTCTGATCTGGAAATTTCTGATTATAAAATTAATTAAAAATTTTTATTTCTCCAGAAAATGAGCGACAGATAATGCATGGTCACTTGTGCCTTCCCCTGAGCCAGCCCTTGCTGCGAAGAGGTTGTGCAGGACACTTTCTTCGACAAACTGCACCAGGAAATTACTTGTTAAATACACATTTAGGACTCGCTGTTCCACAAGGTTAGAATATTTGAGTTTATAGTATGCTCTCAACCTAAAACTTTCTGAGTAAATGTTTAATTTAAGAAAAAATTTTAGGCAATGTTTTGAAAATGAAGTCTTCCTTGGTGTCTCTTGTATGTGTATATGATATCAATAATTATAAAAAAAATTTTTTTTTGAATTACGGTATTTTTAAAAAAAACTGATGTACAGAAATAAAAATTTCAACAATACTTTTCTAGAGACAATAAAAAAAGGGGGTTAAGGGGCGCGTGACGATTCAAGCTGAGCTGAATACAGTTTCTACTATATACCGATACCGTGTACATAACGTTTGATGAATTTAATTGAATTTCCATTTCATCATTAGAATTCCTACTTGCCAACTATGATAATTGTATAATTAAAGGAGAAATCTACCAGAGTTAGCTTAGTGAAGTCAATACCGTTACCGGTACGTAAAAATTCAAGCTATTAACCAGATTCCAGGGCCTACCAGTACCGGTACAACTGAACCACTTGTAGTTTGAGTAATTTTAAAATTAGATCTTCTCTCACATGAAAAATAATTCCTTAAATATTGAAAGGTACTGTGCTGGTAACTATTTCTTTTCTTTAATTAATGTTAAGTCACTGTATAATGTAATCAGTTTTCTTTTTATTATTATGTCGAAAATTATATATTTTTTAAATTTACAGTGAAACCTGCAAAAATTTCACTTGTTGATGGTTATTATAGCTACCACCATTACATGCAAGATCGTTTTGATGATGACAAATGGGGCTGTGCTTACAGATCTCTGCAGACATTATGCTCCTGGTTTAAATATCAAGGTTACACAGATAAACACATACCATCCCACAAAGAGATACAACAGGTCAGTGTACTGTACAAAATGATATGTGGGTTTCTCATTACACCAGTTGAATTACCAGTATTTGAAATTGGGTGAATAAAAGTAAAAAAACATTTAGTGATCTATACTTTCAAATTGAATTAATTTATGTAATTTTTTGTTGGTCTTTTTTTAAATACAAGTTACTGATTGAATTAAAATTTCATCATAATCATCATCAAAAAACATTTAGTGATCTATACTTTCAAATCGAATTAATTTATGTAATTTTTTGTTGGTCTTTTTTTAAATACAAGTTACTGATTGAATTAAAATTTCATCATAATCAAAATATTTAGAATGACTCACAAAGGGTATAGCAGTATAACAGTTGTTTGGTAACAAATCTATATTTAGTAATGTATGTACTTAAATTTATAATTTTAAAATCATTTACCCATGAAACTGTTGTTGACAAAAGGCAAATGAGATATTTTAGTTTTAGTACCGGTGATTTTTTTATTTCAAGGCTCTGGTAGACATAGGTGATAAAGAGAAAAAGTTTGTTGGCAGCAGACAATGGATTGGTTCGTTTGAAGTCAGTTATGTCTTAGACCATTTACTTGGGGTGAGTAAAATTGAAAATGAATAATTTCACTCAGCTAAAATGACTTAAATGAATGTATGACATTGCACTGGCAGCATAGGTACTATATTGTTACTTTGCATTTTTAAATTGAAATAACATTTTTACAAAAAGTTGTAGGAACATGAAATTTTATGACATCTTTTCATATTTTGGTTAGATAAGGATATTGTGTAGACCTAATTTTAGGAAAAAAAACTTAACCTGTTCCCAAAAGTTACATCCATAAGACTGATGCATCATAAGTAAAAATATATGTATACTATACCGTACATTCATATCGCTTGTATGGAAATAATGTCAACAAATATTATAATATAAATTGAAAAAAAAAAATGATGAATATATTTTATATTTGAAAAAAAAATTAAGTCCAAATATTTGTACCAGGTATATAAAATAAAAAAAAATAAAAAATACAATTTAGAAAAAGATTTATTTCACATTCCTAAGTACTGTAATTGTAATTGCATGTTGACTCTGATACTGAATGTGGGTCACAAACAGGTTGCTTGCAAGCCACATAACTTTTTCCAGTCTTGATTTGTTTCTGCTTCTGGTCTCGGCAGACATAATAACAACTGCCTATGATAGGAGCGGCTTCACGACTGCCAAGAGATTCTTGCAGGCTAGCTCAGACTAGCTGCAGCTTCTGGTGGTGTCACAATGCATCATCCAAGCACCATTTCCACTGCACCTTGATGGAAATGGCTTCTCATCAACATCCAGTTGGTACTAGGAGCATCAATGGAAAGCATTCATAGCTTATTGAAAGTTATTGGCAAGATCTTTCAGAAACTTCTTTGTTGATCCTTTGTCCTCAACTGTGTTTTCTGTAGGTGAAGTAGGATGATAAGTAGACAAGCCAGCGATGTCAATCATATTGTAGAAAAATGCCGGAGGCCAAAGCAATGTTCTTCATTTCATTTTATCCCCAGTATCAACTCCACCTTTGGTTTAGTTGTAGTACCGGTATTTATCTATTGCTGGGCTAATTGTGTCTCTTCAATTCCTCCTTTCATGTGCATGGAAGTTATGAGCAGGTTTTATTTGTTTTTCCTTGGTACCGATACATATCAACTATTTTTATTGACGGTACCTATCAAAATACCGGTACCAAGACATTTGTAAATACTTAAGTTAAGTTAACCTGATAATTTTATGTTTTAGAGGAATAAGAACCTCATAAGAATCTGTACAAAAACACATAACACAAAAGAAGTTCGCATTATTTCGCTGGTAGCCAGAATCTATATAAATAATACAAAATAACAAATTAAATGATAATAAAGTCAACAATCTGAGCTGTAAAATTTTACAAAACGTAACTAATTTTGTGTGATAGTATTAATACCAGTAGTAAATACCATACAGAAAGTGAGAAAGTATACCTGAATCTACACTCAGATTTTTCATACAAAATAAAGGAAGGTACAATTTTACCTATGCTGCCTGCTGGCGTTGTAAAATTATGCCGACGGAGGTTTATTAAACCAGACTAACACTAGTTCTGTGGTTTAAGTTTTCTTTAGTTTTTAACTTTAAATGTTATTCAACTTTGTATGCTACCGGTATATAATATAAAATATAATTTATGTGTTGCTATATAAAATATAATTAATGTGTTGCACAGTTTTAGCGTCACAGTCCATAATCAACATGTAATTAATATAGAATTGTGATTAGTAAATTTTAGACTGTAACTGGATATTTTTTTAAAATAAGGTAAACAAAGATCAATTTATTATTTAGGAATGTATGCAATTGAAATGTCCTATTGTTGTTTTCAACTACGTGTGTTATCAGGTTACTAGTAAGTTTATCACAGTTAATGCAGGATCTGAGCTTTCAAGTATAGGCCAAGAGCTTGCCAATCACTTTGAAACTCAAGGAACACCTGTCATGATAGGTAATTTTTTTTCTCTATTTGTAAAAAGAGACCACTAGTGGGTAACTAGAGTAACAGCAATAATATTTTGAAATTTATTTGTATTTTCTGTTACTGTATGTAATAAGATATATAAATTACACCTATTACTAGTATTCCTGGTACCATACTAAAAGTACAGTAATTTTGAATCCTTGTACCTGTAAATACATTGTTTTTTCACAGGTGGTGGAGTATTGGCACATACAATTTTAGGTGTAGCATATAATGAATTGACTGGTGATATCAGTTTTCTTATATTAGATCCTCACTACACAGGCAGCGAGGATATAAAAATAATTCAGGAAAAGGTAAATATATTGTTAATTACTGTTACAGATTTTGCTAAGTTTCTATTACCGATTTTGCTAATACTAATATTGGTGGGATTGCTCCAAGTAATTAGAAATTCCGGGTACCAGTAGTTAAATTTTACAAAAATAATTTATGAATATGATACAGTAATGGGTATTTGTTGTTAAATCACAATATGATATGTAGACCTTTAAGGTATTATATTTTAATATATATAAAATACTTCCAACTTGTGTAGGGTTGGTGTGGATGGAAAGACATGAATTTCTGGAATCAGACAGCTCATTACAATTTGTGCCTGCCCCAGAGACCCATTCTCATTTGATGTTATTTCATTATTTTTATTTTATGTCATGTTGTATTGTTGCAAATATCTTTAAAAAGTACAGTACAAAAATGTAATTTATGTGGTTGATATGCAAAAGTAATGTGGTGATATGCAAAAGTATAGCACAAGAGCATCTGTGAGAATGTCAAAGCCCTCTATTAATCATTTGTGCAAATCTGAGCTAAGCATGGATCTTAATTGTCTGGATTTACTTTATTTTTTATAAATGTGCCTGGTCAATGATTGAAATTCATTTCTTCTTGGAACAAGAATGCATTTAATTTATTCTTACATTGGTATCTGGAATATTAAATTTAAAAAAACTCGAGAATGTAGACTTCTTGTGTAAGTTGTATTGTAGATGCAGTCCTGATAGTGATTACATAATCTAATAATGGAGTCTAATAAAAATGATTGACTTGAAAAATGTTTTTCTTTACTTCTGGTATTTCATTGTCACAAAAGTGTGTGTATAAGTACAATTCAATATTATTGCCAGTGAACATTATTACTCATCATATGGAAACGGTGAAACTGGTTTTAACTTAAATGCCCGTCATTAGGTCAAAGGTAAATCGAAAAGGTTGGGAAACACCGCACTAGATGCATGAAAGAATTAATATTTAAATTAATAAATAGGGAAATTGATAGAAACTACAATCTCTCATTATTGCTAAATAGAATCATTCTGCTATACTATAAATAGCAAATTTTTTCTTTGGTATGTGCAATCTGCTTCAAGGAATAATTCAAAACCAAATTCATTAATTGATTTATAATAAATAAATCTTTGATTTTTTTGGTTAAATAAGTTCAAACTGTCTAGACAACAAAGTAACAAATTACATACAATAATTTTGAATAAAGACAAAAAGAAAGTAATTAAATGATATCCACATTTTATTCATTATCAACATTAAGGGTTTGTTTACCTGAAAAAGAAATAAATCAAAATTTAAACATAGTTTTGACTTAATCTCAGGGATAGATATAATACTCCACTTAAAATGTGCTAAAACATCAGAAATAACATACGAATAAGCAAATTCCTCTATTAAAAATGTTTAAAATAGCCGAGTTCTAACGATTTTTAAAATTACCATATGTGGCGCACTCAAAACAAATAGTTGTACCGTAACAAAATGAATAAATAAAAGGCAAATAGAATACGGCACTGGTACGCCAATCAAAGAAACTCACCCTTGAAATCACCACATGGGACATGTGTCACTAAGGTGTACAACCTGTGAGTTGAATCCTCATCTTCATTACGTTTACGGGCAAGTCGCACACGAAGTCTGTGAGGTACATGTCTAAAAGGACAACAAGTGAATAAATCAAGATAACTTAATTGTAAGCTTAAAAAAGAAAAACTTTTCTGCTCAATTTATTCTCATATGAACTTGAAGGTATTAGGCCAAGGGATATAACTAATAAATGCTAAAACAAAAGATCTTTCCTCTAAAAACTAACATTTTACCTGATGCCTTGAGACCAGATGTGCTTATTCAAACGGATATCAATTCGAACATCTGGGGTTCCCATCATCTTCTCAGCAAACTTTCGAATCTCTTTAATAGCACGAGGTGCCCTTTTCTTGAATCCACTAAGGAAAAAAACAATATAAAGAACATTAGTAAATATTAGTGAACTAGAGTATAAAAAATGTATATAAGAAGGGTATGGTAGAAAAGAAAGTTTTGAGGAAAATTAAAATGACCGATAACAAGTATTTGTAAATTAATTTCCGTAGAGCAAACATGAACCATAACTAAAGAAATGATGCAAGGTAGGTATTCGTCTTAGATCCCGTCACAACTCATTTTGAAAAGGTGTAACTGTAGTGCCATATTTTTCATGTGCAATTAACAAGTTAACTGAATGTGTTTTGACTAGATGTAAACCTGTACACATTTTCTCTTTGTGTGTCACACTTGTGGAAATTCTGATATTTACTAGTCAGTTTACTGATCTTTGCCAAATATCGCATTATTCACATCAGAAATGAAATTTGAACAGACAAAAGATAAAGTTCAAGATCTGGTTTCCAAAATTCCTAGTAAATTAGGATAAAAATTAGTTAATTACTGAACACATTCACTTTACATTGTTGAGGCTTTGTCAGGTGACAACAATTAAAAAGCTGGCTGCTTCCTATTAAGCTTATTTAGTACAGTTTGCTATATTATTTGCCTTGTATTTGGTGATGTATATCTGGGTAAGGAAAATGATGGTGTTAACGTTATATTTTAGCATGAGCAGCAGTGATGGCGTAGTTGGTAATGGAGTTCTTTATTTAATAAAGATACGTTTGCTGCATGCATCATTGGTTTGTAAAATAATTTTTAAAATGAACTATATTACATTCTCTATGTTTGAAAGAAAGTGTGATTGAATAGAGCGCATATTATAATTCCTGACATCTAGGCTAAATGATTTTGTTTAAATCACTCTCCGTTTTGTGCGTAATATTTGCTTTTCGGAAAATGAAATCGTCTCAATTTAAACATGGTGCAATAAATATTTGATTAAAAAGTGGCTGGGACATCAGAATATTAATATAGGTCATGGTCGTGAAATAAAAAGTGTGCAATTGATATATCATGGGTGGAAGGGGTGTAGTAAAAAATGTTTGGCACGCTATAACTAGTATTTATAAATTCTTTGGGATTCCTTAGGATAAAAATTAAGGAGCCTCAAAGAATTAAATCTAAATTATATATTTAACCAACTGACAAAACCTCAAATGTTAAGTAACTATTTGGCTACAATAGCCAATATGGACCTATAATATAATAATGCCACTGACACTGAACAGTCAATTGTTTGTAAATTAACTTCTGAAAAGGATATTTAAAATTTAAGGTAGGCTATGCTTTAGACAAGAGATTTCACCAAGTACAGGCCTACACAAACATCTTTCATTCTTTTATGGAGTCTAAATGTTTGCTCTCCACCCTTTCCCAACTTTATTCGTCTAGCAATACCACTAAGCACAGGGCTTATATTGGCCATTTCTGACCGCTGGAGATGAAAATTGTCAAACTATCATTTGGAATAGATTTTAATTTTACAATAGTTAAAAAAAACTCAATTTCTATGTTTTTAGGCGATACCCTCTTAAAAATGTAAATAATTTCCTTGATTGCCAAGGTCGTATTTTTGGAAATGTACTGTCTATATATACACTATATACCAGCACATGATCGAAATGAATAGCATAGTTTGTTCTCAACCAATCAAAGTTAGTACGTTTAACAATGTGCACGTCTATATACTGGTGTTAATTTTGTGGTATCAGCAAGGGTGAATATCTTTGTTAAAATTGGTTTTGAACATTGTAAATTGAATTTTAATTTTAAAAAAACAAATTTTTATTTAAGATAACCATATCGATCATTAGATTTAGTTAATGACCTCAATAACGCTCAGTGAAGAATGGAAAAGATATCAATCATACACATCGTTCAGGTCCAACTAATCATGTTATTATGCATCTTTGTCCAAGTCAAATTTTGGAATTACCTAAGTGACGTCACTGTGTTTAGGGTGACAAATCTTGGAAAAACCATGTCTCCAACTACATCTTTACTGAGATTTTAAATAAAAGGTAATAGCATACACAAACTTGGCTTAACTGAGTTTATTTCATTAGACATGATTATTAGAAATTGATCATTTCTCTGCATTTTTCACAAGTCAAAAAGCATAAAAATATATAGCATTGCAGTCTTACATGCCATGAATCCTCTTATGTATGTGGATTGTGCATTCTTTGGTGATGACTTCGTTAGTCACTGTCTTCTTCTTCTCACGCTGCTTGCGAGGAGGTGCCATTGCTAGCCAGCTGTGGAAAGTTAAAACAATATAAACTCACCTCTTTCTGAAAAATATATATTGGCATGCTGTGCTTTAAAAAAAACTTTAGACCCCAACACCTTAAGTATTATATTGCCTAACTCAACCTACAATTGTAGGCCTAAGCCTATGCATGATCGATGACGGATGATAGTTTATTGTGATCATTCATTGTGGTTGAACCACATCTTTTCATTACCAAACATATTATTTTCATTATGTCACTACCCCAGGGTAATAAATATTAATGTAGCTGCCCATGTAGGTGTTAAATTTAGATAGGCTTTATTAATGTTTAAATTGAATTTTCACGAACATCATTAACTAAAATTATTTCTCCTTAACGTTTTAACACAAACAAACTCGGGGCGATGTAGGAAACATTTATATGTACATTTCACGAAGATTTTAGCCGTTTGCAGGGTCATTAACTTAAGATTAATGAAAATATATGTATATTAATACTTGAATTTAAAGAATATATAAACTATTAATGCGATGAAGTAGGGGAAATTGCGATAATTACGGATTTTTATGTGGGATTTACAACAGAAAACTTACAGTCGGCGGCCGAAGTTGCAAAAAGGATATAGAATTCTTCACTTCCGGTAACATCAGCTGGTATGGGAAATAACTCAAATTGAAAAAGATAATGTTTTTATTTAAAATGAAATGTTGTACCTACATAATTTGTTAGCCTTTACGGGAGTTAGTCCTTTAGTTGCTTAAACTTTCGTGTGTGAATAATTTGGGTTGATTATGGCTCGGTATTATGAGTTGGTGACGCAGATACCATAGGACGCAGACACTGTTATATATACACAGAAATTATAATGTCCCTTTGCCATGTCATTTTATTTTTTTATGTGAGAGAAAAATTAGCTATTTTAAAATAATAATTATACAATTAAATTAGGTTTAATCTAGATAATTGTTTTCCGTGTTTAATTTACCATGACCATGTTATACACTGTTATAGATTTACACAGAAAGAGCAAAAAAAAAAAAACTTTGGCTCTAAAAAACACTTAAAAGATTTTTTTAAAAATAAAAGTGATATCAGACCTGTTAATTAGGTCTGAGACGGTTACTGACTCGGTCAATTACTCCGATACCCGGAAAGGACGAGTATTAGACAGCAGGAGCATACACATACCCGTCAGTTGAGACACAACCCGATGCTGATATTAAACCAAAAAAAAAAAAAATAATAAAAAAAAATAGAGGTGGATCCAGTAACATAGGTAAGGTTGGTGCCACACTTGGTGGGCCAAGCCTTTGGTCACCCCCTTCCACACAAAAATAAACTCGGCAGTTGGCCGAAAACGCCACCCTTCAGTACAATGCCGCCGAGGCAGAACATTTAACTTTAACTCGAATGAAATATATAATAATAGAAAACTCATTAGCGAAACTAAACGTAACAGTAACAATGTAAATAAAGTGAAACTTCAAAGTTCTGAAAGTAATAATGAAGCCTATTTTTTAATGAATTTTGTGTGATTATTGATCTTAGCAAGACCGAAGATACATATCTTTGGTTAAATATAACCATGGCACTTTTTTTTTTTTTACATTTAAAAAATTTCCATTCACATGCTTACTGGTGATACTGGGTAGCCTTAAATTTTGTCTGAGGATGAGTGGGTGAATCATATCTAAGTAGCCTACTGCTAATAGAATTAAATAATATTAACGCAAATTAACACGCATTAAATGAGTGAAGCATTTGAACTGAAGAACGGATATAATGTGTTATCGCCTTGGTGATGATATAAATACTTATAAACATAACATACCAACGTTGGTATCAGACAAGCGGGGGGGGGGGGGGG